TAGATGACGGGGGTGGGGGGGCGGGTGGCGTAATTAAATACATTGTCTTAGGTAAGACGAATAAAAGATGGAGAGAGAGAAAGAGAGAAAAGAAAAGCACCAGGGTTCAGTGGCCCTCCTAAAATGAAACTCAACTGCAGCAGGTACAGTATAGACCAGTTTCCTATCACTTCATGCAATGCTGCTCTCCCACTTCACACGCCTAATTTATTGGCCTGGGTGAGGACGACTTTCAGCACTGGCATGAAGGCTGATGTCTCACTGAAGTTGCTTGTGCTGACTATGTGGGTGTGGATGTTCAGCCCCTCGACGTAGTTCCGTGTTTCAATGCTCCGGGCAATATTGTGCAAGCCATTGATTATCGTGGGGGAAAGCTGGAAGAGAAGAAGGAATTATTTGAATAAGCCACGCCCATTTATGTGTTTATCTCCCCTCCCGCATTTTCAGCGCCACGCGCAACTTTCAAAATCCCATCGGCAGCAAAGGTTAAGTCACGTGGGTTGCAGAAACCGGGAAGCTGTGTGGCACCCCAAAAGGAGCATGTCCCGTCTTTCTGTTAAATGCTGCAAATGATCACTCAAGAGATCGGTCCTTCTCAATGGCTGTGTTCATCTGTTTAATTTAAAGCTGTTCTGCTTTTGATCCAACATAGCTGGACTGACTGGACCAAAGCACTTGCAGGGGGAAGAAATAAATATATCCCTCTTTAGAAACAGCATCAAAGACAATAGGTTGATGGAAGGTAAGCAGCTTTTCCCCTCTCAGTAGCCCCTCCGCAAGAGAGTGTAATAACTGCCCCATCCCACATTCTCTCCTGCTCTGCCAACTGTTAAGAATAAGGATGGGAGTTTCACTTTTTTTTTGAACAGCACCCAGAGGTCTGATGGAAATGCCCCAGGTAGACTTTTGAGATGCTTGAATCCCCTGAAAAAGCCCCCTCGGGTGTTTGATATAATTTACAGCTGGTGGATAAAAGAGAAACAAACGTCTCTAGTTCTAAGGAAGATGAACACACAGGGCTAAGCTCTGTGGCACTGCAAAGCATTAGGGGTACTGTAGTCCCTGTGCTCATCATGCGCCATACAGGGTGCCTCTCAGGAAACTACAATGCCCCTAATGCTTTGCAGTGTCACCCAGTTCCTCCTTCAACAGAACTGCAGGGCCAATATGACCACATAAGAACAAATAAAACTTACTGTCTGATCTCTGAGTTTATCATACAGAAATTCCAGGCGCTTGTTGGCATCATCTAATTTCCTCTTGGTTTGCTGCAGGAGAGAACACAACATGGAAAGTTACTGGAAATGGCCATCTCATTTTAGTGATGCAAACCCAAAACCTTCATTTCTATGTTTCACTGTTGCACCAGGAGCAGAATCACACACAACCATATTGGCCATGGATATGCCTTCTGTTCACATGCAGAATATAACATCTCTTTTAGTATGGAGGGAGAAAGTCAGACGTTTTCTCTCTGAGCACAGACTCCACAAATATGGAGACATGAACAAGAGGAGGATACCCATCACAACAGGACACATACAAACTCTGAAATTTGGAGCCCCACGTTCTCTGTAAGGCTACTTTCATGCCAACTCACAAGCTGCTTGCACTGTTAAAACCTGCAATGGGAATCTGTGGCTTTCCAGATCTTGTTGGACTTGAGATTAAACAACATCCCAAAGCCACTGGCTTCTCTGGTTTTAAAGGCTTCTTCAGCTAATCTTAGCTAGGAGCTGAAGTCCACCTCTGCCAGGGACCCACAGATTCCTCGCCTCTGCTTTTGAAGGCGAGGGGATTGGGACTGCTGCAGGTGAGCACAAGTGGGCCTGCACACAAAGCCACAATGGACTCCACTGGGCACCGGTGGTCTGCTGCTCTTTCATCCCGTCTGAACCAGTGTTTTTTTTCCAGACTGGCCATTATCCTGACAAATGGGAGGATGTGAGTGACCAAGACACTCAGGCCACCGATACATCTGTAATCATTTAGCACCAGCTCTGCCATGCCATAGGCAGACATTTCATACCTGTAACCTTAAGCTCAGCATTTCCCAACTGCTAGTGTCTCAGGTGTTGGACGCGAACTTCCATCATCCTTTACCACTGGGGCCAAATGATGGAAGCTGCCAGGCAGGGACTCAAGGTTGGGACTCAAGAGTCTTAACACTTTCCCATTTCAGCCTTATCTATAAAGTGTATATTTCACATCCCCTTTACGTTTGCAAAATTCTCTTGAACCATTTGGGCCAGGAAGCCCTTATCTGAACCTAAGCTGTCCACAAAAAAAAGAGGAGTCCCATGAAAATGACATTCCCCGCTCCCCCATGCAATCACATGGCCACTGCAATTTTCTTGAGAACCTGGTTGTGACAAGCACCTGGTACGAGCCAGGTTAGAGGGTTACACCTTTAGTAACTTGCCACACAGTGATGGATGCTGCCAGCTTCAAAGGTGTGACTACACAAGTGACATTAAAGAAAGAAAGAAGATAAGAGATGGCAGGTTGTACAAAAGACATACGGGATCCGTAGCGGAGGACAGACATCTCTGGATGAGAGCTTCAAATGTAGTCTTGAGGATGAGATGCTCCTCGGGAATTGGCTTCTTTGTTATCTTCTCTGTTGGCAGGGACTGAACATGCTAGTAAGGAAAGAAGACTCGCTGAGAAGATGACTCTGGCTCTTACTGTTCGCTGTCTTATTACGAAAGGAGAACTAAAGGAGAGCCATCCTTCTTGAAGTGAAAGTGTATTCTTGTCTCTAAAACATGCATCAGTTTAATATCCGGCAACACTAATTAGCCAAGACATCCTTTGGGTGCCAAATATTAAAAATCCGTGTTTACCTGTACCGTACCACAGGGGAACACACACCATGTTAAAAACATGAATAAAACTTTCTCATCCTCCAAAATGATGCTATCAAATAGGAGGAGCAGGCAGCAAAAATTGCTCTTATTTACTGTGGTATAGACTTCTGTACTTAATAGATTGGTGGCTACGTTCAGGATTACCTTACCTCTGTCATGGAGAAAGCAAATGCTAATCTCTACCTGAACACCAATACAGTGGTGCCTCGCATTATGACGTTAATTCGTTCCAGCAAAATTGCTGTAGAACAAAAACGTTGTAATGCGAAAATAAAAAGCCCACTGAAACGCACTGAAACCCCTTCAATGCGTTCCAATGGACTGGAAACTCATCGTCCAGTGGAGATTCTCCATAGGGCGGCCATTTTCGGTGGCTGTCTTGAGAGGAATCCGTCCCAGAAAACAGCAGGGAGTCATTTTATTTACCCGGTGGCCATTTTGAAACCGCCGATCAGCTGGAGGAAAATCGTTGTTTTGCGAAGAATTGGTTCCCAAAACAGGGAACTGATCATCGCAAAGCGAAAAAACCCCATTCAGACCATTGTTTTGCGATCGCAATTGCGATCGCAAAAAGATCATCGTAATGCGGGTTCTTCGTAATGCGGGGCAATCGTAAAGCGAGGCACCACTGTATATTTTAGTTAAATCACTGTAACTGACAAGTTCTGTTTGACTTAATCTGGGCAAAATATTCCACAGCATCGCAACTCACCCACTGAGCTCTCACAAGCCAATATAAAGGAATCATTTGCCTTTCCTTAAACCCCACTAAATCAAGGATATACAATTTGTTCGTACAGTTCCTCACAGACCTCCCCCGGCACAAGTGGGAGGCTGAAGCAGCGTGTCGCCTATTCAAAGGGACCGCTGCTGTCTGTCTAGGAGTTCTGTGTAGCACAGAGGTCAAGAGACATGACTGGAGGGTGGCCTTCGTAAGAGGAAAGAAAGGGTTGTGCATGTCATCGAAGCAGCTACGTGGCATATTCCATAGTTCTCCAGTCCTGCCCTGCTTCAGAGAGGGGTAACACAATTTGGATCCCACTGTGCTGGGATAACATGACTTGGTGAAGAAAACTCAGTGGCTTAGATCTCTGCCTGAGGAACCCGTGGTTGGGAATTCGATTCCCTCACTGCACCTCCTTGACAGGGGCTCGACTTGATGACCCATATGGTCCCTTCCAGCCTCTGCAGTTTAAAGGTTATTAGATGGCTGCCTCTTTCCTCTCATTTCCTGGCTACAATTCTTGCCCGCAACATAACCAGCCTCGGTGATGACATTTATTCCGCTCCCTGTACAGAGCAGGAAAAAAGGGAAGCAATCCTCAAGGTTTCCGTCAACAGCAGCCCTTTATCTCTGCTTTGCTGACTTTGGAAACAGGAACGCTAACCCTTCCTCGTCCTCCTTTTACAACGATTGTGGTGCTCTAGGTCAAAATTCACTTTGAACCTTGCGTTGGCATTTTGTTGTGTGACAGCGGTGGGGCTCCTCAGAGGCAAGATAATGCCAGAGAAAGAGTCAAATGATTTTTTTTTTTTTTTTTTGGGCCTGGAGCAGCCCAAGAAAAGCAAGACCACAAGGCCCCGAGAAGGCTAATTCTACTAGCCGTCCAAGAGGCTACTTGTGGGAAACGAGGGTCCTACACGAAGCCCTGGCGCGCTCCTGGACCACCAAGGGCAAGGGCTGGGACCGATCGGATGCCCCTCTCACCTGTACGGTGTTGCAAATCGGGGCTCCTGGTGCTCCTTCCATGCTCGGTGCCGACACAGCGGGAGTCATGATGGTGTGGCCTCCGGGCTGCGGAACGTTCTGGAAAGGGTTCGGTAGCAGAGGCTGGCCTGGAGGAGGGTGTGAGGGCTGAAACGGAACCTGGGCTGGTGGAGGTCCTGTAGTTGGAGGCGGCGGCTGCTGTGGTGGCGGCAACGATGGCGGCGGCTGCTGCTGAACCTGGGCTTGTGGGTCTAACAAAGGATTCATTATCGGGGCTGTGATGGGAACAGGAGGAGTGAAGTTGTCAGGCATCTGAGGGGGAGAAACAAAAAAAGGAGAAAGTGCTGGGCTTCTTTTTGCAAGAAACGTATACTGCCAATATACGCCAATGATAATGACTGCTGTAGTTTCGAGAGCTCTTTGCACTAAAGTCTAATTCGGTGTTCAAACTGCAAATCTTGCCATTACCCAGACGTTCATACACAGCTTTCTCAAAGCTGTGGAAGAAAATGATAGGTAAACTTAGAACTTAACAAAGACTTATTGCCCATTATCGGGAAAGCTGCATTTTGAGGTTTTCTTTTAAAACCCTGAGAAGAACCTTCTCACACGCTTCATTTCTGCAGCAGAGGCACCAAGAGAAGGGTTGTGAGTGTACAAAAAGCTGCTTTTAGGGTACCTTCTTTTTCTTTGCAATTCTGCTCAAAGCAGGAGGATCGTTCCAGCCATTCTGAGGTCCTGCGACAATGACAATATCAACGTGTTAGTATTCTTTGTACAAAATCAGAAGGAAGACAGAAACTTCCCATTAGCCTTTCCGCGTGTTATCGTTTCATCTAGATCTAGAAGTTTCACGGAAGGGCTAGTGGTGGTGTGTATTTGCCAAATGTACCTCTTCCATTAAGACTTTAGGCTTAAATTTCACTTAAGAGTCTTGTCCCTCTTAAGTGAAATTAAGCTTGGACATTTTCCTGAACTAATGTGCATCTCCCCCCCTCTGTTATCCTTTTCCATGTCATCCACTGTCAACATGTAGAACTACAGATCCTAAGACAGGGATCAAGAGGTCCTGCTTATGTTAGTATGTAAAGCGTTATGCACAGCAAGGACCAGTAAATAAAACTTCTTATGATGCATATTACCTTCCAGCCATTTATAATGTTCTCGGTCCAACTGGCACAAATTAACAAAAACTACAGATGCCATTTATGAGTACATAAAGTACACTCAATAATAATAATTAGTTATCATTGGTTTACTAAACTAAATCTGAGAATTTAGAAAAAAATTTCTAGCAGTTATTACAAACGGACAATACTACAGAATATTACTGTAAGAATGGCTCATCGTATGATATAGCTCCACCACAGCTCGCATCTGTGCTGCTGGCATCTGACATATTGAACGACAGCCTAGAATCTTTGTTAAGTAGCCAATTATGCACAGGCTGGACCTGAGTCAAAATATAAGATTCTGCTTGTTTGACCTGAGTTGACTTGGCCCTTTCAGTACTGAAATCACTATGTTGAGAATACAGGAAGTGGCCACATACAGTTAGGCTCTCAGTTCATCAATCTTCCTACTCTTATGCTGACTTGCTGCAGATTTTCGAGGTCTCAGGAAGAGAGAAAGGCTTTTTCCCCCACCCTGACTTGAAACTGCCAGGAACTGAACTGCATCACTTTTACTGCAAAAGCAGGTACACTATCACTGGTCATTCTCAAAGGACATTAGACCTCATACTGAGACATAAGGATGGGAATTAATCTAGTAGACCACTTACGGTATATTATCTGCATTTTAAAAAAAAACTTCAATGATACACATTCATATCTACTCAATGAGTAACCCAATCAGTAAAAACGATTTGTTTTTTTGTTAAAAATAATTTAATTTTTAAAAATTCGAGTGCAGATTTTTAAAGTAATTTTGGGCAGTGTGTTAATGACAGCAGAAATGGGACCATTAAGAATTTCAAGGATTCTTTACTAGATTGGACATCAGTACAGCTGGGGAAGCTATGACGTTCGCTCACTCGGTGGTTAAAACAAAAATCAGCAAATATTGCTGGGAGAAATCAAGTAGTTTATACACAGCACTGCTTAAAACATATGGAATGTCACTTCCCACTCCTCTGAGTGCAAAAAAAGAAGCAGGTAGATTTTGTGTATTAATACCAGAAGACATCATTAGGCTCCTGCAAAGCATAAATTCACAGTGGCACTGACGTTAAAAACAGCAAAAGCAGGGTTCAGATTAAACCAGAAAGAACAGGAAAAAAACTGGCTGTAAAGATGCTTATTTTTAGCAACCTAGTTAAGCGTTATAACTGTTTTGTGCAAAAATCTATACAATCGCCCGCAACGGCATTAGCAAATCTTGCCACCTGAGATCATAATAATCTTAACTGGAGGGAAAGCTAAGGTGGCTGAATATGATTGCTCCTTTGGGTTCTGTACCCAGCTCAACACATGGAATTTTAATGGCCTTGGTCAGAACTCCTAAGGGGCATGAGCACACAAACCTGCCATTATTTTCTGAACTCCCTCTGCAGAAAACAAGTCTCACACCTAAGCTCTCTCCTCTGAACACCTACATCTCTCTCCCGTTCTTTTTTAGGCCTAATGAAATCTTGCTCTAAATCCTAATCAGTGCTCAAATCTGTAAGTCCAAAAGTAGTTCTTGGAGAGGGAGAGATATTGTGTGTGTCTGTGTGTGGATTATCTAAGGCTCCTGGCTAAAGCAAGGAGTGTTTACTTGCAAGGAAAGTGTGAAAAGCCAAATCCATTCCTGTTATTGTGAACATTTTTCTAAACGACTTTAGTATTTTAAAAATTAATTATATGAAGAATATTTATATCACTTCCCCAGCCCTAATAAGTGGCCTCTGAGTAATTTATGAAAGAAAAACTAAGATGGAAACAAATCTCAGTAGAGAAAAATCAGTTGTTTGAAACAGAACTTCCCATAATGACCATACTGGGCAACATTAAAAACACACTCATTCAGGCATCTTCAAACAACACCGTCTCTGGGGTAAAGTGATGAACACAAATCCACACAATTACCACCACCAAGTATGTACTTTTCACGAGAGATTGGAGATTCGGTGGAAATGTGAAAGGCACACAGTTTTAGTGTGTCTACTGAACATAAATCAAATTTATTCTTGCATAGACAGCATATTCACAAAACCGCATGTTTTCTAACAAGTGTGCAGATGATGGCAATCTTAACCAGACCTGCTACTATGTTTCCCCAAAAATAAAACAGGGTCTTATACTAATTTTTGCTCCAAAAATGCATTAGGGCTTATTTTCAGGGGATGTTTTATTTTACAGTCATGTCATCTTCTTCTGGTTGCTGCACAATGGTAGAAGGTGGGGTTTCGCTTCACTGGGGCTTATTTTTGGAGTAGGGCTTATATTACGAGCATCCTGAAAAATCATACTAGGCTTATTTTCAGGTTAGGTCTTATTTTCGGGGAAACAAGATATATCAAGCTCAACATGAGACTATGACTCAAGTCAGAGAGAAATACAGTTTTGTTAACGAAACACCACTGATTGAGTGAACACAATTACAGGTGGAGTTTTTAACCACAGCACTGCATATTTAGGAAACTGCAATATCTATTCGTTTACAATCTAGAATTTACTACATTTTGTTGAGAAATTTGGTCAATATACCATGTGCATCTTCAATGTACAACTAAAAGCAGGATTGTGTGTGTTGCACAAGTATTAAGAATGGCATTTGCTCAATCTTAATTTTGTTCTTTTTTTTAAAAAAAGTAAAGTTCTAGTCCTTGAAAACCACAGGAAAAAACCATGGGAAATATATGAGAAATGGGTGCTCAAAATCTCAGAAGCTGGCAGGTCTGAAAATTTAGGAACTCAGTATTCTACATAGCTCTTTGCCCCTTTGCAGGACTGGTTAAATCAGAATGATCCAAAATGGTTGAAATTGTAGAATAAATGGGCAAAATAAAAGAATAATGGGAGGAACACGCAGGAGATATGGGAAGTTAATTTTTGTTTTTTGTTTTTTAAAAAAAGCTCTTCCCCCCTTCCAATAACTTGCTTACCAGGAAACTGAGAATACCTTGTGGAGGACCAGCTCTATTACTACGAGCTACCCCACAATGGAATGTGATCCCAAGACCATCTATGGTCTGTTTAGGGCCGAGTCTTCTTCTGGTTCCTAAACCCATCTTGGGAATGTAGATGCATTAAAGCAGTGGTTTCCAACCTTGGGCCTCCAGATGTTCTTGGACTGCAACTCCCAGAAGCCTTCACCACCACCTCTGCTGGCCAAGATTTCTGGGAGTTGAAGTCCAAGAACATCTGGAGGCCCAAGGTTGGGGACCACTGCATTAAAGGAAAGCCACTGCCGCTTTCCACTTGCTTCTCTGCAGTTTTCTAAAGAACTCTGAATCCTGGTTACACGGGTCGCACACAAGATTCTACTCCCTGCTCCCAAGGAGTTGTCACTACTGGAGCAAAAAAAACAACATATGCACCGTCTCACCAGCTTGGGAGTTCTTATGGGATGGTTTTAGGGGAGTTCTAAACCATGCGGTTTTTGAATAAATACTGGAAGCCTATTTTGTAGACTGACATTTTCATGGCCTCTGAGGCTCTTTTTACCCATTATCCCTTACTATGTGTTTGGCTTAGCAGAAAGTAAGTTACGGTTTAACACAGATCTGTTCCAGGTTATTAATAGTTTGCACAGATCTATCTGTTCACATTCAATAGGTTACCACAAATAGTTTCAGAGGGGCCAGTACAGAATTCAGATTGCTTTGGTGCAGAATTTTTATTTTGAAGTGCAAAATACACACAATCCTGATGGAAGGACAATTGGAAATATTCGGAAGACCAGACAGCTATCTCCTTCAGCATATACCAAATGTTTCAGTCATTACTATGCAGGACCATTCGAATTTATGTTTCAGAACACGACCACTGTGCCAGTAAAATATTTTAATTTGTCATTTTAAAAGCTGTTCACATCTGTGGTTATAAATCCCAGTTCTGTTATTGGACTTGAACCATTTGTCTTCATTAAGATCTTACCAATGTTAAAATTTATTGAATTTAACAAGTATTATTAGTCTGTGGTATTGAATTTGCAGTCACATGCACTGCTAGAGTCGATTTGTTAGATTTCCGTGCTGTGCCTTAATGATTTCTTTTTTGTAAGATACCTAATTCACCTTCTAGGATAATGGCTTGGTCTTGTATTGATCGATACTCTGTAGACAAAAATGCAAACACAGCTCAAGAGGTGTTTTGTTAAAAACAAAATCCACAGCTTTCTATTGTTAGGCTTTTCATGCTCTGTGTATGCCAGAAAATATTTTCAGAGATGCAGACTGGAAATGTCTATTCTTACTGTTTTTACCACCCACTTAGCTGTACAGCTCTAGACTTTCACCAGATATATTAAATTAAATAGCAAAGAACATGATGGGGCAATTTTTAAAAAAATTATCTTCACTGTGTTTTCCTTCCTTATCAGTGGGGAAAAAAGGGGGGGCTTAAAATTTATTGTATTGGGACGGGCCGGGGGGGGGAAACGTAGAGAACGGTTTAGCAAAGTAAGCATGGGCTGGGCTGGATCACAACAAAGAGATCTTGTTTTACTGGATGTTTTTGCTTTGAAGACACATTTACCTCCTCCATTCTCCACTTGGGGCACACCAATTACTACAGGGCAGTATACCCAACCCTTTAACTTCCATGGGTTTGGGAATTTCTGTTCCTAGATTCATCACCTACTCAGTGTGTTACTTGAGGCTTTTGCAGGTTGAAGCCCAAAATGGGAAGACACCCATCTGAGAACTGCTGTTACAGAATTAATCAAAGCAGTATGGCCGGTGCACTATAGCGGTGCCTCGCTTGATGAGGATAATCCGTGCCGTTAAAATCGCTGTTAAGTGAAATCCTCGTCAAGCGAAATTAAAAAGCCCATTAGAATGCATTAGAAACCGGCTAATGCGTTCTAATGGGCGAAATACCTCATTGTAAAGCGAAGATCCTCCATAGGGCGGCCATTTTCCGGTGCCTGTCTTGCGAAAAAAGCCTCCTAAAAACAGCGGGGGGAGGGGGGATTTTGAGAGCCGGTGGCCATTTTGAAAACCGCCGATCAGCTGTTGAAAATACATTTTTTAGCGAAAAATTGGTTCCCGAAACAGGGAAGCAATCATCGCTAAGTGAAAAACCCCATTCAAACATCATTTTGCAATTGCAAAAAGATCATCGTGGAGCGGATTCGTCATAATGTGGGGTAATCGTCAAGCGGGGCATGACTGTAGTTAGCACAGTTTTCCCACACCTGCCAAAGAGGTGCAAGCACACAGAAAAGTTCTGGGGTCATACTCTACAGTTACTCATTCAGTTCAAATTGGACACAGCCCCTTTCAACGGAGCCTCCACCACTGTCCTCTGTTCAATCTAAAGTTTACATAATTGGCTAAAGGGAAGACTGGGGATGAAGAACAAGCCATCTTCCAAGGAAACCTGCTTGCTGTGGATATTCTCACTAAGGGATGACAGTTTTCTCACCGGACTCTGTTTAAGAACCAGTGGTGTAAGGGAGAGGGTGTTATGTTTAGACTAGTAAGAGATCACTACAAATTCCTGTTCATCTGTAAAGCTCAAGGTCAAACTAGATCATGTAGTTCACATGGGAACAGTGGCTTGCTTAAGTGTTGCACTAAGGCAAAGTGACACCTCTATTAGAGCACTAAAAAAAATCACAAACTCTAGCTTTAGGCCATTGGGCTGGGCACCACTTATCTGTGGGCAGTACAGAAAAAACACAGGAGTTCCAAAACACATGGCTACATTTCCATGCCAGGTATTTTTCTTACAGTGAAATTCAAAATGAAGTCACCACAGTTAACCCAGGAGTACTGGCTTTTAAATTCCACCTCTGGCAATGTTGACTGTGTTTCTTCTGCAACGACTCACAGATAAGTGGTGTGCAGCCTGATGGAGGTGTGGTACAGGCTAAAGACTAGACTTTGTTTCTGATTTTCAGTGGTCTAAATAAAGGTATCACCTACCTTTGCCTCTGGGATTGTGTCTGAGGAGCACATGGTTTTTCTCCTGGTGGTCCTAGATCAGCATTTTTCATCTCCTGAATCTGGCACTTTAGCAAGCTTTGTTTGGCAATGGAGGGGGGGGTTAAACATGGGGTTTACTTGCAGGGTTCACTCCTCACACATCTGGCTCTTAAAAAAACACACCCCCATCACTGGCAATCAAACACAGGATCAGCTTTTGATTACAAAATCAGCGTCTCGTTTACTCTGGTACCTCTAGTGGGAAGCCTCTATTATTTATTTATTCTGCTCCCAATCAAACTCACAACATCACTGAAATAGTTCCATGACTGCTGCCCTGAATTCATTACAGAGTGCAGGTGAAAGGAAAACAAACACTAAATAAAACAGCAGCAGATGATACACAACAGCTTTCCCCACTTCCCAGATTCATATGGAAAAGAAAGTACCCCACCATATATCCTGCTGAGGTTTGGCTTCTCTCAACCACTCAATGTAGAATTGCTATTGTCTCTAAAGGCTATGCTGATGGGTTGTTAATGGAAAGGACTGGACTTACAGTGGTACCTGGCAAGACGATTACCCCGCAAAAGTTTTTTCGCTAGACGTTGACTTTTTGCGATCGCTATAGCGATTTGCAAAACAGTTTTTCCTATGGGGGATTTCGCTGGACGATGATTTGGTCCGTGCTTCGCAGACCGTTTTTTCGCAAGACAACAATTTTTACAGCTGATCGGCGGTTCTGCAAAATGGCTTCCCTATATGCGATCTTTGCAAAACGGGTGTTTTCGGGACCAATGCTTCGCAAGACAGCGATTTGAACAGCTGATCGGCACTTCGCAAAATGGCTTTCCTATGGGTGATTTTCGCTGGACGACGACTATTTCCCCCCATTGGAATGCATTAGACAGGTTTCAATGCATTCCAATGGGGAAACACTTTTCGCTAGATGATGTTTTCACAAGACAGCGATTTCAGTGGAACGGATTAACATTGTCTAGCGAGGCACCACTGTATAGACCTTTTGACTCTGAGGAAAGGAATCAAGGGTGTGGTAGAATCACGTTCCAGTACAGCTCTGCGATCAGCCCAGCCTTGGAGGTGACGGAAACCATCTCACTTCTGACAGGATGGGTAATGTTGTTATAGTTATAGTTCCAGATTCCCCCAATTCGCTTGGGGAATTCTGGGAACTACAATCCAAAAACATTAACTTCTCCAAGATGAGCTGGGCCCTCCCAGGAGCTGTATTCTTCTTCCATGTCAAGATAAACACTCTTTCTTTTGCACCTTCTCCAACCAATCCATATATACAATGTATAGGAAGGACTGGGGTAAGTGAGGGTGAGAATACGACAAGACTGCACATTTTAAGCCCTATTTGGAGCATCAAAAGCCTTGGAATACGACAAGACTGCACATTTTAAGCCCAATTTGGAGCATCAAAACCTGTTCTCTAGTGCTTCTATTTTTAAAAGAATAAACTCCACAGATCTGGTGGATCTTCTTACAAATCTTCATTGGTATACTCAGAAGAATGGTGGAATTAACTTCAGCAGTCTCAACTGTCAAGTAAAGTATGTATAAGGACTGCAGCCTCAGTCAATCAGCTTTAAACTGATTATTATTATTTTGCAAACTCTAGGTACTTTCCTATCAAAACAGGGAATTATCTGTTACGGATATCCTTTGCAAGACAGCTTAGATATCCTACATTTTGCCCTAAAGCATAACCTTTTTTTTTTGTACCGCAAACAATCAAATGTCTTCAACACCTGCAAAGGCTGTCATTGTGTCATTTCTGCCCAACTGTTAGGTTGCTCTAGTCTTGCCTCTTTCATCTCTTGGCGAAAATAAAAAGATAAGCAAAACAAAAACACAGGGACCCTTGACAAAAAAACAAAACAAAACACAACATCCACGTCTTCCTATCATGACACACTCATTTGTTACAGTTTGTTTTAAAGGTCGAGAGACATCAAGAAAGAAACAGGTCTGACCCATGCATTAAAGCCCTGCTCAGGAGTAAGGAGATTAACAAAAAGCAAGGTCAAAAACAGCCCTTGGGTTATCATCTGCTCAATCGTCATGCCATGCTAACGTAAACATATGAGAAACAGTTCCAGTCATGAATATTTGCTGCTGTTTAGTCTACGGCACATTAAAACATGCAGTTGAAAGGTGTTTCTAAATCGTTTCATCCGTACTGCTGCAACCTTATAAGAAAGCATTTAGCTGGCAATGAATGGACAAGGGTACTGATGATAATACTGGATCACCAGCCAGTGCATTCTGTCCTGGCCAGAAGCGTGGCAGACATTTTTTTTAAAAAAAATGACTCAATTCAGTATTTGTTCTAAATGAATGGGACTTTTTAGTCACTCATAACCAACTGAAGTCAAATTGATTTAATGGGTAGGAGTTACACTGGATTTAGCTAAAAGTATTCCTTTCAGAAAGCCTCCAGAGTTGCTTCTTTTTGTGGCCTGATTAAAGGCAACAAAATGTTCTTGATTTTACTTTAAAAGAAGTAATTCACAATGTGCTGAAGTCATCTTAAAACCTCTTAATGGAACAATCTTTATTACAGGCTGGGGCTAAAAGGAGGGCAATTAAGGGATGCTTCACACGTTATCTGTGGGGCCATGAATGCTCCTGTTCCCATGCCATATGCACAAATTAAATTAAATAAATTCCTGTACTTTCACACGGACAGCTATTTTACAGTATTGGTGTGCAAGCTATGGTCTTTGGCTATATGTGCCCTCCCTATAAATGTTTTCACAGATTTCAACCACAACGTTATCCTCTCTCTTGTTTTACAGGGCAGGGGGGGAGGTTAACTGCAGCTCCTGGAAGCCTCCAGGACCGGCAATTTACTTTTCAAATATGTCACTGGTAAAGAAACCTCACTCTGGAACATCAAGGCAGAGTGGATAGAACACCAAACCAAAACGAGGCAAGGCTGACTTCTGATCTCCACTAAGACATGAAGATCACTGTATCGGGGCAATATGAATACTCAACAATCACATTATCTCACAATGAGTTTCTCGGGAGGAAGGTCAACATAAAAACTAAACTGTACTTTCACACGGACAGCTATTTTACAGTATTGGTGTGCAAGCTATGGTCTTTGGCTATATGTGCCCTCCCTATAAATGTTTTCACAGATTTCAACCACAACGTTATCCTCTCTCTTGTTTTACAGGGCAGGGGGGGAGGTTAACTGCAGCTCCTGGAAGCCTCCAGGACCGGCAATTTACTTTTCAAATATGTCACTGGTAAAGAAACCTCACTCTGGAACATCAAGGCAGAGTGGATAGAACACCAAACCAAAACGAGGCAAGGCTGACTTCTGATCTCCACTAAGACATGAAGATCACTGTATCGGGGCAATGGGAATACTCAAGAATCACATTATCTCACAATGAGCTTCTCGGGAAGAAGGTCACCATAAAAACTAAATAAATAAATAGCATAATATATGCACTTTGTAATAAGAAATTCATGGATACTGAGCTACAGGTTACAAATTATTACTTAAAACCACATGGCAGAAATGGGAGAGGATCAGGGTTCCATAACAGAGCCCCTTTATGAGACAACTATCTTTTACAGAAGTCACTTACCTAAATTGGGCAGGTTCAATCAGACTATCATATAAAGTGTCTCATGCATGATTTTTGCTTGCTCTTTAATCAAAAAGGACACCAAAGATGCCCTGGTTAGAATGCCTTACCAAAGAAGCAGGGGGTGGGGAGAGCATAACTCTTTCATACCTGCATACCAGAATGGCAGCCTGTTTTCTATACACAAAGGATGACACTCGGACTATTTCTGGATTTGTTGACTCACATTGTGGAAGCCAGCATGCTAGCAGCATCAACAATAAGCAAGTCACTGATGCCAGACCACCTGGCAGAGGACGGCAACGCATTTAGAAACACCAAAATGTTGCACACAATTGAACCAGCAAGCCAACGCAAACATGTGACAATAGCAAAAACAATAATACAAAGAAAGCATTCCCCATTCAACCACAAAAACACAAAGGTCTCTTTCAGGCGCAGACCTGTTCTTTGGGATGCAGCGAGCTCACTGGTTGCAGGCTCTGTACCTGTGGGTCCAGGAGGCATGGCGTACGGCATAGAAGATGCTGGAGCTCCTGGCCTGCCATGCTGGAAGGAGGCACCAGAAAGAGGAGGAGGAGGAGGAAGCGGAGCGCTCGGGTTCAGGCTGGTTGGAGAGGCTTGGGGCTGTGCAGGGTACAATGGAGAAGGCATAGAACTGGGAGGATTAGAGGACAGGTAAGGAGGATTGGGGTTAGCAAACGAGGTTGGAGGAGGAGGAGGAGCAGCGACAGGTGGTTGTTGGGGCTGATAGAGCGACGGTCCCCCCGTTCCGAAAGAATAGGGTTGCGCTGGCTGACAAGCTACATCGGGGAGAAAAAGGAGAATGTTAGTGAATCAAACGGAAGTCCGTCTCTTATGGAGCACACCCAGCCTTCCTGAGAGGGCTTCCACTAAAGATCCCAGATTTTGGCTAGGTAACTGCTGAACATTAGAAACAAAAATGAATTTAAAACACATCATACACAGAGAGATTTCTATCACTAGCTCTTCGATGATACATATTATTCATCCGAGTATCCTTTTACCTGTTGAAACTAAAACCATTAATGTCAAGTTGGCAAAGAAATGTGTGTACTTTGTTGTGTACTCTCTGCCCCAGAAACAGAAATTGCTTGCCTGTTCAGAACTGTAACAGGGTGGGGGTGGGGGGGTTGGAATCAACAAGTACCAAAAACTTCCTTTCTTCCTTCCTTCCATCCATCCATCCATCTTTCTATACCACCCATCTAGCAACGCAGGCCACTCTGAGCGGTATAGAAATCTAAATCTACAGCTCTTTTATTTAACGCCTTAAAGCTGCTCTGGGGGGCATATGTCAATCCTAGTGGCTACCAAGGTGGTTTTTTAGTAGATCAAGAACTTGCCTTGAAAGTGAGAGGGGGGGATCAGAGATCTAGGTGGAAAACCCTGGTCATTAATACAGATCACTGGGGAACCAGACTGACAACCTATTGTCTATCCTGTAGGGATAAGCGAAGCCAAGACATCTTGGGCCACTAGGATAAGACGGGAAAAACAATTCATAAGTTGACATATCAGAAGTATCTATACACTGGTTGCTGGTGGTTTTATCCTATTCTCCAGGCAATGGCATAGGATCCAGAAATATATTTTGCCATGCAACCGGGTGTATGAACACACAGGTCAGGTTTTATAACAAAGTTGGTACAGCTGGTCTGCAGTTTGTTGCAACCAGAATAACAAAGTGTGTTATGGCACCATAAGAGTAGCAACTTGTACTTGCCTCTAGCAAATGTACAGTGGTGCCTCGCTTAATGACTACCTTGTTAAATGATGAAACTGCTTGACGATGAAGTTTTTGCGATCACAAAACGATGTTTTAATGGTAAAAATTTGCTTAATGATGATCGGTTCCCTGCTTCGGGAACCGATTTTTCGCTAAACGACATTTTGAAACAGCTGATTGGTGGCTCTAAAATGGCTGCCCGCTGTGCAAAATGGCTCCCCACTGTGTTGTCAGGACAGATTCCTCGTTTTACAGGCACCGAAAATGGCCGCCCTATGGAGGATCTTCGCTGGACGCTGAAGTATTTAGCCCATTGGAACGCATTGAACCAGTTACAATGCATTTCAATGGGCTTTTTACATTTCACTTGATGAGGATTTTGCTTAACAGCGATTTCAACGGAATGAATTATCCTCGTCAAGCAAGGCACCACTGTACCAGTGTTTGTCCAATGTTAAAAGCTCAGGAGTCTCACCCTCACTAGCGTGGCCTCCCCTTCTCTTCTCCTCCATTCATTCTTTCACATTGCTATCAAACTCTCTCTCTCTGTGTGTCTCTATCTCTTCTGCCCTGATACTCATTCAGCTTGTAGCAGCTTACGAGAAGAGTCCAGTAAATGCCTCGGATCAGGAACTACTGAAAACTATAAATGGATCTCACTGGAGCCTTGAAGGAAGAACTTCAAGATATATTCAACTCAGCTAGCATTTATTCAAAATGTTTAGTTTCTCCCTCTTCCTGTTTTGGAGATCTTTAGGAACAAATGAACAAAAGGGGTTCCAGGGTAACTTGGTTTTGATATGGAACAAATCTGTTCTTTATGTTAAGAAATCAGTAGTATCCATGCTAAATTTTGTGTTTCTAGCTCTAACTCTTTCACGGCTATTTTGGGACAAATAAGGGAAAAAATAAAAGGGGGCTAGAGAACTACAGTAATCTTGAAATGCAAGATTTATTTTTTAATTTGAACTGGAAATCAGTTCAAAACATGTTTCTACTTTTACCTTTTTTGAGATATTTCAGCACAAACAATAATATTTTTTTTGCAAGACTGGCAAATGTAGCCAGCTTTACATGGCTTAGATACCAGTTAATTGCACTCTGCCTAGTCTCTCACCTAATATTTATTTTCAAGCTGATCTCTTTTTCTATCTCCACCCAAGTACACATCCAACCAAATATCCCATCCAAATATCCCAGGGGATAGAAATCCAAGATTGCTGGACTCCGGGAATCCCCAGACTGCAGAGCTAATCAAGATATTACCTAGTTATTCAGTCTGAGACATCAGTAACATCAGTGCAACATTTCATGTTTCTCGATTCTGTAAAGGAACCACACTCCTTGAGCATAACTGAGAGTGGAGCCGTCCACTTAAGTTGGGACATAAGCAGTATCAATCTAAAATATCACATTCCTGACTCTTACTGCTCTGGCTTTATTTATAAAATAAGTTTTCATGGACTGTGGCACACTTTTTTCAGATGCAAAAGAAATGGGCAACTGTCTGCAAATGTGCGTAACAAATAAAGAATACCTACGCTTCACGATGCCACAGAATTGTTTGCTAGCTGGGCTCATCTTTTACAATACTCTGGCTGAACTCCAGTTGTTCATTTACACAAGCAATGTAACTTTTTGAAGTGAACTGGCATTAAATTAAGAAGGCTCCACAGACATCTAATGTACATTGAGTCACACAACTCAGTGTATAACAGCCTATGGAGACTTCAAAACTTACAGCAATTCACTTACAAAAGTTACGCCACTTGCTTAATGGCGCAACAGGATTTAAGCCTCTGATTAACATTTATGGGTCTGCCAGGAGTAAGACAACATTGCGGTGTGTGTGTGTGTGTGTGTGAGAGAGAGAGGTGAGCCAAATTCACCCCACAGACTGCCAAATCTCCATCCTTGCTTTGCCGTGTATTAGAGCGTTACTCAAAAAAATAATAATAATCCCACAATGATCCAGTCAATTGAAAGAACCACGCTTCCTTTAACTCAATGCTAGCAAAAAAAGCAGAGGGAAAGATTATTGGTACTTACGTTGTGGATATGGCTGTTGTGTAGGGTACATATTGTAACCAGGAGGTGTAGGCTGATGTGATGGTGCATTAGGATTGATGGCCCCTTGCATAATAAATCCAGGAGGAGGAGGGTGGTTTTCTCCCTGGGAAATAAATGGGGAAATTTTGTTTAAAATTTAGGCTTGGTTAGTAGTAGCAGTGAAAGACTGCCCTTAGTTTACATTTTTCAAAGGTTCTGAACTCAAAGCAGCCAACAGGCCACTTCTATCTCCTTTTTATTCCTCACCTTTTTCATATAACCATTTCACATATTTTACATTGGGGACAGTGAACTGTAATGGCAGACTATACAGTAGCTTGTCAACAAAATGGCAAGCTTAATCTGCAAATTCTTGGGTAAAAACAGTGCAGTCCTACTTTTGCAGGATTCATTCCTGGTAGGGTGGGACAGGGAGATTATCATCTGCTTCAGGATGTTTTACAAGAGCTACAGTAATCCACTTATTCAAGTTGATAAGGAAAATTCAGGCAATGGTAGAGGAAGATAAAGATTATTTCATTCCAGCTGTTCCCCAGTGGAAATGATGCTGTTTACTTGCTTGAACTCAATATCTGATTCATAAGCCAGCTAACATTTCTTTTCAGTGTCCACAAGAAACCTGGACTATAGCAAGTGTTACATTGGGTGAGCGGGCGGGGTTTAACCCTGACTGAATTGTGACTGGATCCCAGACAGTGTGGAACTGACTAGAATTATAAAGGCTGTAAAAAAGGTAAGGGTGCTGGGGTGTGGTAGAGGGTGTACAAAGGGTGAGTGTGCAAGTGTGCATATTTTAAAGGTATATAGAAGGAGAGCAGATCCTGCTCAAAAAGGAATAATTAATGTTATACCTGTGTCTCAGAGGGAGAGGCTGCAGAAGGATGGCTGGGAAGGGCAGTGGGGGTTTTGTTACTCCAGGTAGTGACAGTAGGGGCAACTCTAACCTGAATTGAACAGAGAGATACCAATCATGGAAAAATAAAAAAAAAGAAATAAATAAAAATAAAAAATAAATCCCAAGGGTTTCAAACAGCCAAAATGCTCAAAGATGCATCAAAAGCAATCATGTTTTTTTTCTTCTATTTTTCATGCCATTTAGATACTAGAATTCAAAGTGTACAATCACGACATGCTAGGAAGAAGCCAAACAGCATGAATGAAGCGAGTGGCAGGACAGCAAACACTCATCAGTGCTTTGAAGTACTGAGAAACCTAAATCACGCTAAAGTCAGATGGATGATAATATTTCTTTTGGATTAAGTTTTGCCACCAGTTGCCATGCACACAAATGAACAGCAAGCTGCAGTCTCAATATCCAAAGTCATTTAAAATATAGGTTAATATTATAATTATACACAATCTGGTAGTGTTAAAACATTTAAAAGTAATTAGATGTATATTTCATGCTTACAGAGGAACGACGATATGAAACATTAACATGGAAATCTAACATGCACTGTTAACTCTCAAGCATGCATGTTAAGAATTGGGGAACAGCAAAGACATCATGCTAAGATTTGGGTGGACGAGACTGCTCTGTAACTGCTGAACTGAGTGGGATTACAGCATCGAAATACAGAAAGACACATACGCTCTTTTTTTAAAATCAAGAAATGGTGCAAAATGTAATTAAGATACAGGAAGGGGAAATCTCATAAACAAAGACACAAATATCACACCATTTTTGTTGATAGTCTGTGCAAACAAAAAACTCAAACACACGCATGTGTCTGTTATTTGCCCTTTCACATTCAAACACACACACACACAATCCGGAATCAATACTTTCTTTCAAGCCTGAATATAAACACATAACTTCAAAGATGGAGTGCACACTTTGCCCTTCAGCATCACAGCATTCCTCGCTGGAAACTAGCAGCCTAGATACCGAGATAACAGGACGGAGGAAGAAGTCCCTAATACTGTACCTTTCTTTGCTGTGTGAATTTTCCTCCCGTTATTTGCTTTAGCAACATGTCTTTCACTTATATTGGGTACTGTTGGGAGCATGTTTAAAGCTAGCCATGATTCCTCAGTCGCCCTGATCTGAAAACACACTTCAACCATGGTCATGGGGGCAATCCTGATCAGTTAAACCCTATTTGTATAAGTTTACACTAAAAGAAGCTTTGAACGTCATCAGAGTTGTATCCCTTAACATCTGGCCAAAACTAGAACTGCACAGACATCTGTGGGTGCAAGAGCATTGAGGATCCATCACTCTCACCAAAGAATGGCTAATTGGTCAGGGTCACCTAGCGACAATGCAAGGTTCACAATGCACGTTGTAAAGTCAGCTTCCCTGGCAGATGGCTCTCCAGCCTCTGCTTAATGTCTGCAGAAAGAAAGGGCCCACCCGTTTCCAAAGCAATCTGTTCCGCCATACCGTTAGGCTGAAACTGACACCCCCCCAAAAAACAATCTTTGTTTACTGCTTCCATGCCTATGCAACTACAGAGGACCAGTTGGCTCCATCTGTTCCACGCAAGACCTTCAGACACGTGGAGACAGCTGTCTTATTTTGTTCACTGATCTCCTCCTCTCCAGGCGCTATGTATTCAGCTCTTTCAACTGTTCTTTCCCCCCTCCTCTGTATTAAAACATTATCTTGTCAAATGCTGGCTGAACGTAACATTTGCTGAGATAATGTCGTTCCGCTCTGAAATGTCCGTGTAATAAACGGTAGAAAAGCAGAGAAAAGACTATACATTTCCTTGGATTCTTTTGTGAATGGTGTAACGAAACTTTATTTGTATAAAAATAGGGATAGGGTACCCTTTAGCCCTAAAAATGACCCCCAAGCTGCTTTCTGACAAGAAGGAAAAGCATTGTTACAGTTAAAAGTCAGGGATTCAGAAAAACAAAAATCAGAAAAAAACCAGAACAGAATCAGAAAAAAAAAGATCCACAGCTGCTTGACAGCCTGGAAGAATAAGTACGTCCTCTACAAACCTTCCCTAAACTGGTGCTCTCCAGAGATCTTTTATTGCACCCTGCATTGCCACTGTCAGTGTTAGCTGGGGAATGATGGGACTTGTAGTCCAAACGTATCTGAAGACTACCTGGGCCAAGAGTTGCAATTGCTTGAAATGATAGGACTTATAGTCCAAAAACATTGGGGGCCAGCAGCTGGAGTGCAACCTTAACCATCCATTTGGAGGATGGCAAAGAAGGATCGACGCTAACGTTCCTTGGAAAGAAATCTTATCCTTTGTGGAATCTCTTCTCCTTTAATGTCTACTAACCACATAAGATCAAGTAAGATCTTCGTTTCGCTTCATTTTTATACACGTTTTTTTCCAATGGGTACTCAGTCTCTTGGCAGCTTCCTCCACTGTATCACAGACTTGACAGGGAGAAAAACAAAAGCCTACAAAGGAACCTTGCTACCCTGTTCGTCATCATGCTTAATACAGCCATCTGCTACCAAAAAACAATCCTTCAGAAGATCACCACTGAAAATTGTTGATGCTTTAAAAAGTCAGCTCCGGTGCTATTAATTAATGGCAAAAAAACTGTTGTGTAAAGTACACTGCATAAAGGTGATGGCATCACCAGAAGGGGGAAATGGATGGTAAGCAATGAGTTCCTGGGACTCACATAAGACACATGCAATCATGGAAGGCAACTGGTGCGAGCTTTTGGAGGAAAGTAGGAACTCTTTAGGGGACGTGGTGGCAATGCAGGTTAAACCGCAGAAACCTCTGTGCTGAAAGGTCAAAGACCAGCAGTCGTAAGATCGAATCCACACGATGGAGTGAGCTCCCGTTGCTCCCAGCTCCCGCCAACCTAGCAGTTCAAAAGCATGCAAATGCAAGTAGATAAATAGGCACCACCTCGGTGGGAAGGTAACGGCGTTCCTTGTCTAGTTACGCTGGCCACCTGACCACGGAAACTGTCTTCGGACAAATGCTGGCTCTACAGCTTGGAGACGGGGATGAGCACCGCCCCCTAGAGGCGGACACGACTGGACTAAATGTCAAGGGGAACCTTTACCTTGGAACTCTTTCCTTACCATCATTGTTTCTTTGATGCTAGTGTACTTTTACACATCAGGATCTGAACCAGGCATTCATTTAAAATAGTGTGGCATGAAGAGAGGCTTGGGATTTTTTTTAGCATATTCCTATATTAATTCCAAGGTTCTAATTAACTGCTTCCAAATTTTTCTTGCCATTCACAGTAGTCTTCAATAATGGCATTTTCCAAACCTTAATGACACTTCCATTGTCGTTCCCCTACTATGAGGACTGGACCTCTAAACACCTCTTTTCTTTACAGCCTCCTATTAACCTGCTAACCAATTCATCCAGGTCAGTAATAGATAATTCTATATACAGAACTAGAGATGGGAACAAATTGCAGATTTCTGTCTCTGCTCATTTCTCGTTTGAACAGGGATTTGGCACTTTGCAGCCCCGCCTCCTACCAGCAGCCACCTACTCAAGACTCTATGGAGTAGGCGGGACAGGATTTCTGTCCATCACTGCTTACCTGACTCCTGCATCTGCACGTTCTTTTGGATGATACAATAAAAGACCATCCCAACCATGCCTTTGGCTGTGTATGCACCCTCTCTTGAATTGCTCATATACTGCCTGACTTGATTGCAAGGTTTAAAAACAAAAGTGGGTTTTGCAACATTGCTTTCGAGTTGAAGTATCAACAGAAGCAACTGCAAAATCAATTGATATAGGAGCAAGACGGGAGGACGGAAGAAGTAATAAGGTCTTATCTGGTGCCCCTTCCTCACATGCAAGAACATGTGCATGGGGAAAGAAGAACAGGAAAACACAAGACTTCCAAAGTCATCCCTTCTAATGCTGGCCCTGCATGATTTATTTGGCGAATAAAAAAAAATGAGGTGCAAGTTTTAATTCCTCCAACCAAAAAACAGCCTTACTGGTTACTATAAAAATAGTCTCTTACCACATGGTCACAAATGACTATGTTAGTCATTTGTGCCCTGAAGCTTGAATGATGAAGCACAGCAATATTACAGTTTATAAACACTTCCCTACTTGGTAACCTGTGGGAAGATTCTTGCTCTCCATAGACAAGCAAGAGAAAAGACTTCTGCAATAAAATGGGCTAAATCAGCTACAAGCAATTATGTAGACTAAGGAGTCATAAGTTTTGGAGGTAAAACAGGCAGCCTATTCTGAACTGAAACCAAAAAATGCATAAGGATTAAAGCAAGATACTGGCGACGGGGAGAGACAGACAGAAAATTTCCAAGCAACATTTCAGATGAAACACTTAGCATTTAAAGTGCATTTTGCATGCATCAAAGCTTGTTTGTCATTGCAGGTAAACTCAGGCAGACGGGTAGGTGAGATTTCTTAAAGCGCTTTCAGAAAGATGAGGACAAGATTTATTTACAGAAACTGTAAGAGGCGCACACAAGTTGCTCCTTTAGAGGCTTTTAAGAAGCTTTTCGTACAGACACTATTGACCATGATGCACACAATACTGGATGGAACCATTCCACAACATAATCACAGGCCTAACAGTTCTGCTGAAGGTGCCCCTTACCTGCTGATAATATTGCTGTGTTGGGACTTGTGGCATCTGCATCTGGCCCGTGGCAGGGCCTACTCTTCCCTTGGCTGCAGGCTGCCTTTCATAAGGTGCCTTCGGTGCCTCTGGGCCCCTGGGAAGTTCTCCTTGAGCTCTACAAATCCTCTCGCGCAACTGCACAATGATAGGCTGCAAACCATTGAAAACAACAGATCAGCTACCAACCCACACAGATACAGACCCCCCACGAGCGAGCTTGGCACCTTCTGGTATCCTAAATTTTGACCACTTTAATCCAGGGTGCATATACTCTTCATTCTTTATTAAGTCACTTAAAAAACAGGACAGTTCATGATCACAGTACTGAGGACCTAAGAGCATCATGCACACAAGCTGAAAGGCAGGAAATGAGAGTCTTCCATCTTCTCCAGCAAGAGGGAGAGAAGAAGTTCTATCAGCAAAATAATCAATAAAGAGGAAGATGCTCTTCAGGGAGGGAGGGAGGGAGGGGAGCAAACGGAAGGGAAGAGAGACAAGTCAAGGGTGAAGGAATGTACCACAGTTGTGCAACTATGATAGTGAAGAAATCATACTAGCATCAAGTCCTACAATTCCAGTGACATCTTGACTTCTATTTCAAGCCCTTCCCTCAAATCTACTGATATTTCTGGTGCAGGATATCATGCAATGTTCAGTCTCTCCCACCCACTCCCACCCAAGCCCACTTTCGAGGGAAATTTTCATTTATTTATTTAAAATATTTTAACCCACCTTTCTCCTTAAAAAAGGACTCTGGCTTACAACGATCAACAAAACTACAAAATGCCTCCCCCATTGCTAAATTCAAGGTGGACTCATCTAGCATAAAGTGAAAAAAAGACAAAGAATAAAATGAATCCCATCTACCTGACTGGTGTTAGCAGGAAGGAAAGCTAGCGCAGCAGCAATGCTGCCCTGGGAAGCCAAGAGGTTGGCATACTGCGTCATCTTCTCAGCTAGAAGAGCCCCAACAGCATTGCCATCCATCACCTGCGTCTGCTGGACTGCCTTGCGCAAGATTACCACTTTTTCGATGAGGTCCTGCAAGGTTAAAATGGGGAAAGATAAATAAAAGCCATCCGTGGGTGAGAAGCTCCAGTCAGAGCTTTACTCACAATGTGTGGCACGCGTAAATTGAAAAAGGATGACTACGGGGCTTTCCATGACATGTCACATTTTCTCTGCAACCTACATTTGAACCCATAAGCAAGTTCAAACATATTTACTGTATGAGTGATGTACTGAATAGCTCAGTGGTTTAAGCATGGGAGTTCGATTCCCCATTATGCTATTAATACTGAGTGGAACAAGCAGCCAATGTATAGGGGACTTCCCAAATCAAAGGTCAAGGGCTGGTTACTCCCTTGTGAATTTTAAACATATAGTATATACTGCCGTGGAAGCCAACTTCCTGGTCTTCTTTTTTGGACACTTAAGAAAATTTGAAGAGCAGCTATTGTGCTCTGGATGCTTCTTTAGCGGACACCATGCAAACATCCACTAGATCCACTGTGGATTACTGGGCATGTCAAACTGCAGTAGGTTGCACCCAAATCATTAAAGCACACTGGAGTAAGAGCTTGCACCCAAAGGAGAATTGACATTTTTGAAGGCACTTCCAGATGTCCAGAGACCCAGCCGCAGGGAACCAATGGATGAAGACACTGACCTGCAGAGAGAGGGGGCTGTTTCCATCCTGAGCTTTAGTCCAGCAGGCAACCAATTTCTCTACATTCCCAGCACAAATGTAACACAAACAGGCCTGGTTCTGCAGAAGACTGTCACCTTCACTTTCAAGTCTGGCACCCAACAAATCTAAGAAACAGGTATAACACACAAGATGTGAGTATCTGAATAGACCAAGACAACCTTAAAATTTTTTAAACATAACAAACATCTGATCAGAATGTGCTACGAACTTACACACACTTTCCTATTCTTACATGCCTTTCTCCATCGGCTGGTTTCATCTAACTATTGTTTACTGTCACATCTAGAGGCCTGGTTGTAGCAAACCACAGTTATAAAACTCACAAAAACAAGGAGAGAATTGGCATGTGAGAAATAGAAGAAGGGGGAAGTATATGAGCCTCACAGTTATATACTGATGTACCTATGCTTGATTTCTCTTAAGGAAAATGTGACATGAATGATATTTATTCAAATTAAAGGGAGTAACACACTGCTTCACTTCTACCTATATTTCTTACCACAAAGAGCTGCAAATTCATCTGGCCTAGCGTAAGTCAACACAGCGGCCAGAGCTTCCCTCCAGTTTTGTAGGTCACAAGACTGGACAATCTCCTTCCAGTTCTTGGTCACAACTGCAGTGATGAGCTGCAAAAAAAGGGGAAAAAGGCACATACAGATAAGTGCATTCAGAATTCATTTGGGAACCCAAAGTATCCTAAAGCCATCTCAGAGGCAATCCTCACAGATCATTCTCTACTGGCCTGTTGCATCAGTAATGGTCCATTGCTTGAATTCACTGTATCTCCCTAAACTCTGATGTGTTAGTACCCTATTTGCGTGCAGTATAACCATATACACGGAACAAGATGTGACATTACATGAGAGCAGAGCATGCACAGAGTGGTTGTTCAAATGAATGAAGGCTGCCAACTGTACAACACCATGTGCAGAATCTTTAAGTTGGTAAGAGCTGACACAGCTTTTCTAACATCAGAATCGCTTGCACAATGGCTTGTTACAGTTATAAAATCCACCAAGATGATATTAACCACTGATCTTATATTGATGGGCAGGAAAAGATACTGTTCTCTTGAACTGATCTCTGGATTACTCCGTTTTTCTAGATTTCTGTCTGGTCTTGTGGATAAAACACTGAGTTTGTGAGTACAGTGGTGCCTCACTTAACGAGCGCCCCGTTGAGCGATTAAATTGCTTAACGAGGGGCTCTGGGCCATCACTGGAGCATTCGCTCAGCGATGGCCCCTATGGCGTTTTTTCGCTTTGCGATATTCGCTAAGCGATTCGCTTAGCGAATATCGCATAACGAAGCAGGGGAGAACAGCTGATCGGTGGTTCCAAAATGGCCGCCGGAAGGTCCACACCGCATTTTCGCGCCCTGCCCTCGCTTACCGAGGGCGCGAAAATGGCGGCGCTATGGAGGAAGATCGCTTAACGGTGAGTTTTAAAGCCATAGGAATGCATTGAACGAAGTTGAATGCGTTTCTATGGCTTTTTTATTTCCGTTTAGCGATGTTTCGCTATAGCGAAGGTTAATCCGGAACGGATTAACCTCGCTATGCGAGGCACCACTGTACACAGATTTTTGTCAAATGCCTACATACCCTGGTAATTTTGCCTCGCGTCTTCGCGAAATATTTCTTCTGCGTCCTGGACAGCAGCTCCTGGCCCCCGGCTATAGCCAGTATGATGGCATCAGCCATGCGATTGTCATAGAGGCAGAGGTCAACGGCACTTTCAAAGTTACCCATCAGCAAAGCCTGAGTGATCAAGCCATCGATATCTGTATCGGGGGTGGGGTGGGGGGAGAGCAAAAACCGGTTATTGCCATTGCAGCTTGACAAAGTAAATGTAAAGCATTCAAATTTAATCCATTTTTTGCCACCTGAATCTTCTTTTGGGAGAAAAAATGTCTTTGTTGTTTTTACCTTCACGCGATGTTTCGCTATAGCGAAGGTTAATCCGGAACGGATTAACCTCGCTATGCGAGGCACCACTGTACACAGATTTTTGTCAAATGCCTACATACCCTGGTAATTTTGCCTCGCGTCTTCGCGAAATATTTCTTCTGCGTCCTGGACAGCAGCTCCTGGCCCCCGGCTATAGCCAGTATGATGGCATCAGCCATGCGATTGTCATAGAGGCAGAGGTCAACGGCACTTTCAAAGTTACCCATCAGCAAAGCCTGAGTGATCAAGCCATCGATATCTGTATCGGGGGTGGGGTGGGGGGAGAGCAAAAACCGGTTATTGCCATTGCAGCTTGACAAAGTATATGTAAAGCATTCAAATTTAATCCATGTTCTGTCACCTGGATGTTCTTTTGGGAGAAAAACATGTCTTTGTTGTTTTTACCTTCAGTGACAGAAATGTTGAATGTTTCATTTGAGGACGGAAAGGCTTCAGTCTCGTCGTCCGCATTCTAGCAAAAAGAAGAATGCAACTGCATCAAATGTCATCTAGAGAGCATGTTTAAATACATCCCTTTGGAATGCATGTCACTTGTATTAAAATATCCACAGGTGCCTTCTTAGTGGATGGCACCTGCAAAGTTTACAGCACAACTTGTAGTGATTTTCTGCCCTCAAATCCATTCCAACTTGCAGAGTTGTCTAGATACAAAGTACTGAGATGTGGTTGACCAGTCCCTCCTTCTGGGGTGACTCTGCTCATCCAAGGCTACACAGGTGGCAGCCACGACGGGATCTTAGCCCCTCCCTGGAGGTGATGTTGGGATTGGGAACCTCAGCCTCCGGTTCCACAGCCAGACTTTTAAGGTATAACAGGCTCAATGCATCATATACTCCTGCTTTGTTTCACACATGTGAAAATACTAAAAAATAGCCTTGTTTCTTTTGACTGGCGAGAATCCTTATGGAGGTGATATGCAAGTACTGTACAAAAATTTTCAGTTAAATATATACCTTCTGAGCTTAAGCACATTCTTAGGCACACTTATAACAGACAAATGGAAACACAACTCAAGTGTTCCATTCTGTTCGGTATAACAAGGAAGCCCAGAGAATCTTGTCCAGTTCATTTTACCTCTCGGACCACATTCCGAAGAGCTTGGGAGCTTCTTTCTTAAGTCACCTTAGCACTGCAGCGTTTCTACTGGTACTGCTGCCCCCTCCTGTCAGAAAGCTGTCCATGTGCACAAAAAGGAATTCAGGAACTCCACTGCGGCTAGAGATGGGGGTATTCGTATACAAATCCCCCCCACACAGGTGGAGATAACAAGGCTCCGACCCCCTGGGGCCAGACCATCCACTCACCGTTCTGCGGCTCCTGCAGGCTGCACACTCTCTTCCTATAGCTCTAGAGCCCGCGATGGATTAGCCACTCTTTGACCTGGCTTGTCATCCTGCCTTCTGCCAGGAGCGGCTAATCCACCGTGAGCTCCGGAGCAATCGGAAGGGCGCGTGGAGCCCACAGCAGCAGCAGCAGAACGGTGAGTGGACGGTCCGGCCCCAGGGGGGCGGACCCTCGTTATCTCCACCGTAGGGGAGTCTTGGTATCTGGCAGTGGAGCAGAGGATTCGACCACAGGAAATATAAGCAATATAGGTTAACTGTCATATTTACTCAAGTTGCAAAGTTCTACTTTGTACCCGGAACAGGGATTTCTGGATAAGTGTTGAATATACAGTATGCAGACGTATCACTGCATGCTTTTATGTTATCCTAGTGCACACATGAATACAGTTACATATGCATGTTTATAATTCATCAATGTAACCTTGTGCCTATATCTACCCTATTTTTCCATGTGTAAGACTATACTTTTGTCTAAAATCTTTAGACTAAAAATTGAGGGTCATCTTATACAGTACACGGAAGTAAGCTGAGGACAGAACATAAACAAGTGGAGGGAAAGCAGGGATCAAAGCGATCTTGCAGTGCTTTGATCCCTTTCCCCCTACACTTGCTAAACCCCACTTAGATTTCTTAATTTTGGATTAGAAAAGTGGGGGGGGTGTCTTATACATGGGGGTGTCTTATACACGGAAAAATACGGGTATATCCTCTACATACCAGCATACACTGACTATATTCAGAGCTCTCTCTGTGTGTGTGTGTGTTTGTTTTCTGTGTACCACAAGAATCCTACTGCCAAATTACACCTGTGTAAACCTGGGCAACACCCTGAAGCTCATTAATAAGGTGTTGGTAATATTCTTTGTAGCATGTCTGATTGAGGAGTTCAAGTAATGCACCTTGTCAACAAGGGGAAATCTACTGTCAAAGTTTATGTGGCTTCCCTTATGCAGGCATAAATCTACAATAGGTTTTTGATTTACATGTGTGTGTATGTATGCATGTGCCTATGCGTGTACACAAGTTGATGACAAAATATGAATGTAACACCCCCTCCAGTGCATATTAACTATCAGAAACCACTTTCAGGAGCAAACAAAGACCACTTGAAGCACACCAGTAAGCACCTCCATGGGTAAGAAATTTAGCACAAGACAGGATTAATACCTCTCCCAAGAGCTGATCCATAGCAGAAGCCAGACTCTCCTCACCGTCCATCTGTGCAGGCTGGTCAGATTCCTCAAGAGCCTTTCTCACAGATGAAAAAAGGTTATTGCAGTGACTGAAGCAGAGATAGGCACCAGGGCAGTTAAGCCAAACTCAATAGTCCCCAATGGCCAACTGCAAGCCCTAGTACAAGCAAGCCTATGGTCCAACAATGGGTATCCATTTTAATTCCTCTACTTCCCTTTCTATATGATTTAACAGACACTGACTGATGCCTGTCACAATACAGCACTGCAGGAGAGTCCTTGCAGGCCAACACATAAGTTTGGAACTGCCCACAAGAACCTGAGGCACAGCCTGTATTCAGAGAGGAATGAGAGTAAAAGAAACACCAGAGAACCCTTAGCAAAAGATAACCCTATGCAAATGCACAGCTCCCTGTTTAATTCAATTTGCATGCTGGTTAATATTTAGCTATATTCAAAAAGGCGAGGTCAAAGTAGATTTACTGAACCTCACTTGCTAAATTAACCATAGATTTAGAACTGTGGTTAATCATAAAGAGAAGAGGAAATGTCCGAATGAGTTTAAACTGCCATTTTTACTCCAGAGGAGATGGTAAAAAGGATAAAGTCTCATGCAAGAAAACTTGGCTGTTGCATCAAAGGCTGGCATTCCTGCCATACAAAGCATTGCTATTTTCCTTTTGTAGATTTAGTTGTGTTTCTGCAATTCGTGTTCCTCACAAACTGGAACATCAGGCACAATATTTTCCTTCTTTTAAAAAAGCTTTTATTATTTGAAGAATCAATGCCTCAGCGGAAACTTAAGTGCAATAAATCTTTTCAGAAAAGCTGAAAAAGGTAACACAGAGATATTTGATTGCCAGGCACCTAAACAGCAACAGAAAAGGCTGCAATAGAGACTAGAACAGGATTGTAAAAACTGCCAAGATAAAATCATATTTCTTGGGTCAAAGAGAATATATCTCTAAGGAGTGAAGTTAATTGGAGTGGCTGAGTAACTGTAGGATACAAAATGTATAATTCACTAAAATGCCACAGAAACAAGTTTTCAGTTGAAGGCGTGCTTAACTCCAAAACATGAATAAAATCTGCATGAATCAGAAGGTAACATTTTCTTTCTTACCTGATCTAGTTCTCTACCGTGAAGGCGCTCTTTATTGAGAGCAGAAGAAATCTGAAAGGAAGGCGAAGAGAATACTTCTTTTCTCTTGAAGAATAAAACAGCACATCAGCTACCTCAGTTCTTTACATGACACTTCTCTACTACTCTGGTTTTATTCTTTCACATGCCAATCTCAAATTCACACAGTAGTTTCCATGGAGTAGTTTTATAATTACAAAAAATATATATTTCTTTTAAACCTTTTTTTATCCGACTTTTACCAGTCAGGAGACCGTATGCAACAAAACTAAACAAACCACAAAAGCAAGACAGAAGTGATGCCAGAAATGGATGCAGTAATTCCTTCTTATGCCTCCCCCCTTCATTCCTTTTTTCCTTTCATGCTCTGTCTTTAATACTATAAGCTCATGGGCAGGCTGCCTTGTTTTGATCAGTCATACATAAGCCATTCTACAAGCCCTTCTTGCTGATCAGTGGGGTAAAAATACTTTGTGCAGGGTAGAAAGGGCCTTTTATCACGTTTATAAGCACTGTTCCCACATTAGTGGGTAACTGCAGGAATCCCTCAAGTATCTCTAATTAAAAGAACTGGATCCTGCAGTATATTTTAGCACCAACAACTTCTGCAAATCGAAGTTATTTTAGCAACTCTATGCCAGAGATTATAAAGAATTAGAAATTCCCTGGAATATTAAGAAGGGAAGATATTATGAAAAGGGCATCTGGTTTCCCTCTGAAAAATTAATCAGGATTAAAATGCACGTTAGCAAATGCCCTGCCGTGCCACATTAAATATTCCTGATGATGCCAATTCTTCCAACTTGCTTGAAAACACTAGCAAATCTTGACAACGCTGACAGTGAGCCAAAGCCAGAGAGCTGCGTTTTACTTCCCCTTATTACAAAACCAGAACAGCAGGAGAGACCGCTTTGACAGCAAGAGGAATAAATAGAAAGCAGCAAGTGTTTAAAAGGTGCTGGGATCCAAAATCAAAGACTCTGTCAGGAAGGCCACTGCTTCTGATTCTCAGAGCTATTAGGATAGCTGATTTAAGGAGAGAGCGACCAGCTGGTTCTCCTTAATGATTCAGAGCCATCAATATACAGGCCACCAGCGTGCTTGCCCACACATTTCTCCGAATGATAAATTTCTGCAGAAAAACATCTACGACTCTGTGTTTTTCCAACAGTCTAAAATATGACAGCAGCTAATGCAAGAAAAATGAAACACTTGAGGATGGTTAAGGAAGCCTATTCCTCAAGCCTTCTCACATGAAGTCCTAATCCAAAGGGCAGTAAATGCCTCTCGCCTTTCCTCACCAATAAAGATGATGGATAAATGATGTGCTGGTTTAGGGACTAGACTCTACCAAATCATAGAACTAGGGCTTCAATTCTATATACAGTGGTGCTTCGCATAGCGATTGCATCGTATAACGATGAAATTGCTTTGCAATGAAGATTTTGCGATTGCTTTTGCGATCACTTTCCGATGTTCCCTATGGGGGAATTTCGCTTTGCGATGATCAGTTCCCTGCTTGGGGAACGGATCATGGCAAAGCAAACAGCTGATCGGCGCCTCGGGAGGAGGGAGGGAAGGAGGGGTGAAGGGCCTGGCCCCGATCCCTGCGCACAGCACCCCCTGGGGCGCCGAACCAGAGAGCAGTTGCAGCGGGAGGCACTGCAAAGGAGGAGGCGCCCGCCGGGGACCGGGATCAGGGTGGCAGTGGCTGGATGGGGGGGCGGCATGCCAGAGATCCCCTCCTCACCCGCCAAGGAGACCAGGAGTCCGGGGTTGGCTCACTGGCAGTGGCTGGTGCGCCCCTTCCTTCCCTCCAGCCCGCTGCTCACCGGAGAAAGACCCTCCGGCCCACCCGTGTGTGCCTCGGGACAGCCCCGGCAAGGAGGCCAGGCGTTGTCCGGGGCTGGCTGGCAGTGGAAATTCGCTTTGCTATGATTGGTTCCGATCATAGCAATGCTTTTATAACAGCTGACTGACGGTTTCAAAATGGCCGCCCGCTGTTTCTGGGACGGATTCCTCCCTTACCGAACAGCGAAAATGGCCGCGCTATGGAGGATCTTCGCTGAACGGTGAGTATGAAGCCCATAGGAACGCATTAATCATGTTTTAATGCGTTTCTATGGGCTTTTTTGTCCCCTAAAGCGACAAATCCGTATAGCGACGATTTTTCTGGAATGGTTTATCGTCGATATGCAGGGCACCACTGTACAGAAAACTCAACTGCTTATCATGTCAAATTTCCACTAATACCCTCATAACGTCCCCGCACCAGAACCCATTTGTAGTTCAATGAGAGCTTTGCCTAAATACATTTTCTTTTAAAAATCATCTAACATATTAACCATTATTCATTTACCTTTTGCCCCAGATCATCCTTCCTGTACCCGAGAAGCTCCAGATACTTGCCACGTGAATCCTCTTCAAAATGCACCTTTATGAAAAATTTGAAGGAAGACATCTTAGAAAAGGTTTCTAGCCTCTTCCCAATCCCACAAATTGTCTTCTAAATATTAGGTAACGGTTCCCCTTGACATTTAGTTCAGTCGTGTCTGACTCTACGGTGCGGTGTTCATCCCCGTTTCCAAGCCATAGAGGTGGTGTTTGTCCGAAGACAGTTTCCTTGGTCAGGTGGCCAGCGTGACTAGACACGGAACGCCGTGACCTTCCCACCGAGTGGTACCTAATTATCTACTCGCATTTTTGCATGCTTTCGAACTGCTAGATTGGCAGGAGCTGGGACAAGCGACGGGAGCTCACTCCGTCGCGTGGATTCAATCTTACAAATTGCGGTCTTCCGACCTTGCAGCACAGAGGCTTCTGCGGTTTAACTCGCAGCACCACCTACACGTCCACAAGCTATCCAAAGGATAAATTCAATTATCCTTAAGGTGAAAGGCATACTGCCTCCTCTGAAATGCGTGGGCACTCGCATTAGGCTAGGGATGATGGGAAGGGATGAAAGGTGGAAACTGACACCAACTGAGGTTGAAACTTGGTGGATGTACTCAAGGTTTCTAAGAGTGAGATTGGGAAAAAGATCTTGCACACTTGCAAAGCACAGCAATTTCCACTGTTCCCTGCCAGAACGGCAATAAACCCCTGAATGTTTGTCTCTATTTCCACACCATAGAGCTCCTATGAACATTCCTGGTAAAGAACCAGGAGCATTTACACGTCAGCTTTCTCCCTGTAGTCCTATTTTATTTTCATTCTGCTCTTTACATTAAAAACTTGGAAACAAGGTTGGAAACAAAATAAAATCCCGGTCTGCGTGTCACTTGAGAGAAGATGGGACAGCAGGGTTAGATAAAGTCAAAGTAGGAGACACTATTAATTTCTTGCCCATTTTCGTTTCTTGTCCTAGTTATCTTCTATTCTGAAGAATGAAAAGCTCTGCTCATAGATAATGTAAGACTGTGTCCTTGAGCAGAACCTGCATGATCAGCATATGGTCCTTGGGGTGGGGGACTGTACTTATTTTCCTGCCACTGGCATAATTAGCCAGGGCTGATGGATTATGCACTCAAAGAACCACCTCTGGAAAGTCAGACATGCCCCATTCCTGTGCCAACTGAAGTGTGGTTAGAATGATGTTTAAACTAGGTTCCTAATTGAGCACATCGTTTTGGAATATTGGACTTTTAAGATGTCTGGGAGCTTTAAGACATAGACAACATCTAAAATTACCTTTAAGAAAGACCACACATTCTTTTCAAAGTCATTCTTGGCAGCATCAATCTTCTTCTGACAATAATTGATGAAAGCTTCTGCCCGCACAGCCTCCTGCAGCTGATCCGAACGGCTCAGGAACTCTTTCTCTGTAACCACTTGGCTCACGTAGACATGGTATCGCAGTTGCTGCTGCTCTGCTCCTTGTTGTTGAGGCTTGCTGTTCTCAAATGTAACTAACTTCCCTCCAAACTGGAAATTAAATACATCGTACAGGCAACAGTTTTAACTAATTAGCATCAGCATCAATAATGTTAGGTAGCCTTAGCACTGTCTTGCTCAATGAGAGGAACGTTTGTAGGACAGGTAGATAGTTGGAGGCTAGGAAAAAATGCACCTGAACCAGGTCACTATTTGGCAATACAGTAGGACCCCCTTATCCACAGTTTTTAGTATATATGGTGGTCTTGGAACGAATCCCCAGAGGATATGGGGGTCCTACTGTACTGCTTCCAAGGAACAAAATTCCTCCATCATTCTGTACTCCTAAATTCAGCATGAGAGAAAACTGGCACTAAATGATACATAGCTGGACTATGTTTATCTGTCTTTATTTGGTTTAAAAAATATGGGATAGTTACATTTCGAAGTTTTTAAAACTAGAGTGTCCCTTGCCCAGGAAGTAATTAAAAGCAGAAAATATGTACCATTTTTGTTTGAAGCTTGCTTGACTATTGTACTCTCCAAGGCCTAATTTCAACAGAGTTTTCAGATGAAGGCACAATAAGACAAGGAAGTTATAGTCAATATTGACTGCTACTACTCTGTGTCAGAACATAACAGGTAATATACTATTATTCTTGGCTTTAAAAGTCTACAATTCCCCCAAAGCATCAGAAGGACACTGGCATGGGACAGGTGCTTCTGTTCTCAAAATATATGGAGATTTAAAATACACAAAACAGTGACACTGAAATATATTAAATTAAAATAACGTTAAACTTTTCAATATTCCTTGATTACATAAAACAGATAGTCACACTCCACTTCTTCACAAGGAGCAATGATGTACCTTGAAGGAAGATTGCACTGCCGCAGTGGGTGACGTGCAAGCCTCCAGATGTTGCTGAACTACAGCTCCCATGATCACTGCTAAGGATGATGGAATGTATATTCCAACAACATCTGGAGGCCCACAAATTGCTCTCCTCTGATTTAGAGATTACGGATCTGGATCTGCTGGGAAACTCTAGAACAGTGATATGAAAACGTGAGACTCTGCTGATGTTGCTCAACTACAATTCCCATCATGTTTTACACTGACTATATTGTTTCAGCTTGCTGACATTTCTAAATCAGCAGCAACTAGAGGGCCACATGCTCGTCATTCATGTTCCAGAATAGCATCATTATAAAAAAAGCAGATATGTCCACAATGCATTTTTCAGAAAACTGACCAAAACATCAATAACTTCCTATACAGTAGACATCACAAAGGCTTCCACTTACTGAAAAAGAGGCACCCACAGGTCGGCGAATCCACTTGGGTGGCTTTTTCAAGGGTAGGACTGTGCTCTGCGGTGTCTGCTGAGGAAGCTGTAAGGGAGGAAGCGGCTGCCCTGTTCCAAAAGGATCGAGGTTCCCAAAAGACGACGAAAGCTGCCGAAAAGAGAAGGAAAACTGGGCATGCAATTCCTGTTCAATATCACAATTCAGCTCTGAGTGCACCACACAATGAAGATTTCAGAGCTTGTTTGTTTGCCCAACTAAACAATTCTGCCAATTTCTGAGCTTGCTTTTTGCATTTAATTGGTTTGCAAGTCAAGAGGTGCCCTGGGGTTGAACTAAATTGAAAAATCAATAGCTTATGTCAATATTCCATCAGCTCGTGTGAAAACCATAGCAAAGTTGTACTCTCTTCCGGGATAAAGTCTTCAAAGCCTTACAGAAAACTGTTTTAGATTTCCCCAAGAACTATCAGGGGAAAATTAAAGATAGAAAAAAAAGATGACTATCATCTGAGAATACCCTCGTCTGAATCCTGACTGTGGAAACCAAGCAGTAAGGATCTACCATCATTTTGAGAAGTCAAAGGTATTTTAAAGCATTTGATTTGGCCTTACGAGATCCTTCATCCTACAGCGTCTGAGATATAGTTCTGCTTTGCTTTTTAACATACCTTGTCGGCCTGCTTCTGCCGCAAGCTGTCTGGGCTTCCCCCCATGATTGAGTAAATACTGATCCTCCCATCAAAAGAAGCCGCAGAGAGGAGAGCTGGGTTTCTCGGACACCACTGAACATCAAAGCACCACTGTGTCGTAGTAGGCAATTCATATAACACCTGCGACCAAAATAAAGCTCGTTTCATTAGAACAACCATCATGGCTATGATAAATGATATAAACTGCCAGAACATACAACGACATTAATAATAAAAAGGTTTAAAAGGAGCTATCTCCTTTTTTGAGATTTATTTCGTTTTTGGCTTGCGCATGTTGTGAGAATGGCTGATGGTTGGATTCCAAAAGATTTCCTGTATTGAGAATCAGCGCAGGGTCTCCCAGAGGGAGAACACAGCTGCGATACAAGGAGATCTGCAAGTGGGATCTGAAGGCCTTAGGAATGGACCTCAACAGATGAGAAACCTTGACCTCTGAGCGTTCAGCCTGGATCTCAATTTGAAGAGACCCTTGTCCAGCAGGCCGTACAACACTTTATTTTATTATCATGTTCGCTCGCATCAATGTCCTCTTTTTCTTTCCTCTCTCCGTTCAGTGAATCTCTCAGAATCAAATCCAATAAAATGAACCATTAAGGCACTAGATTTTAAACCCAAGGGAAAAAATGGTGGGGGCTAAGGACAAGGGGGGGAACCACTCTGCCTAAAAGGATCATTATTTTTTGCCCAACTCATGGATCTCCACTAATTTTTTGTAAAGCACATATGCAAACCCAGGATTTAAGAAATTGGTTCATTTGCATATGTGTGTATTTGCTGTGCACAAAACACATTAAATCAAAGATTAAAGACTATATTTTGTCTTCTTTAGGCCTATGTAATAATGAGCAGGGATGTGACACTGTTAATAGTGAGGCTATGTCTAGAGAGTTCTGCCAGTCTGTGTCATACCTTTTGTTGGACTGGACTGAAAAATGATGAAACTTTTGCCTTCTTTAGGCCTATGTAATAATGAGCAAGGATGTGACACTGTTAATAGTGAGGCTATGTCTAGAGAGGTCTGCCAGTCTGTGTTGGACTGGACTGAAAAATGTTCAAACCATTTGAAGCCTACTTTTTAACTTCCATTGGCTTTTAATGGGATTGATTTATTGCCATCGCCCAAAAGTAGGATGTTACCTTTGGAAGTAATGAACACATGGCAATGATTGTTTCCCCCCTCAAAGAAGCAACTGGTAATACTAAGCATGTTTACTTAATTTAAATACTTGAAAAAGCAGCAAATGACAATAACTAGTAATGTAATGAGTCACTGACAACATAATATTAACAGCAATGAATTATTTTGGGCTTTGTAATGAGCTTTTATAAAGTCACTTTTCTAAGTTCTGCTTATTGCTATCTGATTTGTAAAGCAGTTTTGTAGTTTTTAATCTGATTATCCAAATTTGACGACAAAGTAATATGAGCATTTATGTCCCATAACAAAATGGATGCAAAGACTTCTGCTACATGAACTCATAAGAAAACAATATAATCAAACTATAGAAATAGGCTTAAAAACGAGGAACCATTTGCAACAGATAGCATAGAAACTCTTTATAAGACTGCCATGTTTATAGTAATATGAGCATTTATGTCCCATAACAAACTGGATGCAAAGACTTCTGTTTATGTTTCCTTAGGAACCTGAAAATAAACAATTCTGAATCCAGAAAGCCTGGCCATCTATTTGCATTCTACTAAGTGCAAAGTCAGTAGGAGCAAACTCTTTGTATAAGAAGTAACTTTTCATTCCAGAGTCTTGAAAGTTATTTGTGTGTCCTACCTCTCCTGTATTTGGATTGGAACAAAGAATTCTAGCATCCTTGCCACAGCTCAGCAACAGTTCAGGATCTGCCATACTCCAAGCAATGGTCAAAATACCCCTAAGCAAAACACAAAAAACTTTAATCTTCAAAAAAGAGATTATAACAGAACCACAGGCAGTATTAACTCACCCAAAGGTAAAGGTAAAGGTTCCCCTTGACAATTTTTGTCCAGTCGTGTTCGACTCTAGGGGGTGGTGATCATCCCCGTTTCTAAGCCATAGAGCCAGCATTTGTCCGAAGACAATCTTCCGTGGTCACATGACAAGTGCGACTTAGACACGGAACGCTGTTACCTTCCCACCGAGGTGGTCCCTATTAATCTACTTGCATTTGCATGCTTTCGAACCACTAGGTTGGCGGGAGCTGGGACACGCGATGGGCACTCACTCCATCGCGTGGATTCGATCTTATGACTGCTTGGTCTTCTGACCCTGCAGCACAGGCTTCTGCGATTTAGCCCACAGCGCCACCACGTCCCTAACTCACCCAAAGCTGTAGTGATAAAGGGGCATGTAGTAATTTGAGTATCAGCCATTTAAAAAAAAAACACCTTACCAATGGCTGAAATCCTATTCTGATTTCTTGCTTGGCATATCACAAATGACATTAACATTTGGAGACCAATGGCCTCAGTCACCAAAGGTATTATCTGTTGCACGCAAGCCACATGATACACTATGCAACATTGATTTCTTGATGCAATATGCCTACAGAATGTACAGTATTTTATATTCTAAACACACACATATACACACACATGCACAAGTAAAACGTCAGAGGAAAACCTACATACCTTGCATGGCTTTCCAGAACACGAAGGGGAGAAGATGCAAACCTAAGATCCCACACCTGGACGACAGGCAGCCTGTCATCTTCTGAAGCCAGAACCATTTGTGTAGCAACGTCCGGATGCCAAGCCAGGCCTGAGCAATGCATCTGAAACAGGATAAGCAGTCTTCATCAAGGAGGTCCCTCTTTCTTTCCATCGAGACTGCAATGAGACTGATTAGCTCCTAGTTACAACCGTCGCGTGGATTCAATCTTCCGACGGCTGATCTTCCGACCTTGCAGCACAGAGGCTTCTGCGGCTTAATGCACAGCGCCACCGCGTCCCTTTTTGGAGGTCCTCAGGAAGACCTCAATTTTTCTGCCTTAAAGAGCTAGATTTATGTATTTATTTTCATTAAACTTTTACCCTGCCCATCTACACCAAAAGTCTACTCTGGGCAGCATTACAAATTTAAAAAACAGTTAGATGGATTTCCACCTATCTGATGTGTATATCTGATGGGAGGGTTTGGCTTGACATAAAGGCTACATTAAAAATCGCTTTGGAGGCCCTGAAAGACACTTCCATTATTTTGTCTTAAAAAGATGGATGGACTGTCACCATCTTCAGCATCTTCAGACTGTTCTTCCTTAAAACACAGGCCTTATGATCACTTCGGGACTTTGGCAGCACGCCAGTTCTTTTTCATTCCCTACAAAATCATGTGGCACATCTTTTTAAAAGATTTTTGTCAGTTGAGTTCAGAAATGTACATGCTCTGAATTCTGCTGCACGATTATGGATGAAGGAGGGGGAGTGTTCATTAATCAGGAATCATGTTGGCTGTGGGACTGCGAGAGCGGTCTTCCTCTGATAATGAATGAGTACCAAGAGGAAGAGAGAGAAAGAGCAGGGCAAGAGAAGGGAGTGCAAAAAAAAAAATAAGAAAAGGCACTGAGATGAGGGAGGCACCCATGGGATTTTAACCAAGGCAATGCTAGGCCAACCAGACACTGTATCTTAAAGTGAGCACTTTTGTTTTCGCGTAATAAGCCAGCATCATGAACCAACACTGGGCTTTGCAAGAGACTGGATAAACCATTACCCGGTTACTGTGGTCGCTGACTTTGATTATCGGTTCATTTTTCCTGAGATCCCACACTGTAGCACGGCCACTGGGGCTTGCAGAAGCCAAAATATGCTGGACTTGTCTGTTCCACGCAATGCAGCTGATGTCCTCGGGAGGCTGTTCAAAACAGAAAATACACCAACTGTTTGTCTATGTCCACCAGATTCTCATCATGCATCACGGAAGACAAACAGACAACACAAGACACACAGGCCGACTAAACTTTACATATTGTTATCTGCTATCCGTAACTCTACCCCAACTGCGGAATGCAACATCCCTCCACAAACAGCCATGTGACTTCCAACTGAGGAAATGCGAGCTAAAAAATCACTGGAGTTGTTTATGTTTCATGTCCCTCCTATCTGCATGCCTGCACTTTGATTAAAAAGTAGAGAGGAAGGCTTCTGGGATGCAGCAGTAGGTTGCACAGTGCAAACAGGAAGGAAAGGAGAGAGATATAGTGGTGCCTCACTTGATGACGTTAATTTGTTCCAGCGAAATCGCTGCAGAGCAAAAATGTTGTCAAACGAAAAAAAACCCATTGAAACGCACTGAAAGCCATTCAATGTGTTGGAATGGGCTGAATATCTGCTCGTCCAGCGAAGACCCTCCATACGGCAGCCATTTTCTGGTGCCTGTTAAGCGAAAAATCAGTCCAAAAAACTGCGGGGGACCATTTTCTTCAGCCGGCGACCATTTTGAAGCCCGACGATCAGCTGTTTGCTGATCATTGTAAAGCAAAATTGGTTCCCGAAGCAGGGAACCGATCATCGTGAAACAAACAAAAAAAAACATTTAAACCGTCATTTTGCGATCGCAAAAACTTCAACGTTAAGCAAATTCGTCGTTATATGGGGTAATCGTCCAGCGGGACATGACTGTAGCTGTTTGTGTGAAGGTTAAGCAAATTCGTCGTTATATGGGGTAAACGTCCTGCATGACTGTAGCTGTTTGTGTGAAGGAGGGGATAAGAAAGTGCAGTTGTTAGGAAGACTGGCATCTGCCAAATTGTCTTTGATGAACTTGGTTCAAAAATGCAGTAAAGGTACAGAATAAATCATGGCAGATCCTTTGGGAACCACAATTTTGTGACTCCGTGCGTCTAGGAAGCATTATGTGTCCTTGAACCAGAAATTTATCATACTGTTCTTTCCCAGAACGTCTTGCAAACAACCCAAGGACAATGGTGTTCTTTACAAGAGGCGCATGCCTTACCAGAAATTGAGTTAATGTGTTCTTTAACCAAATAAATTGCCTTTGGACATGAAATGCAGTTAAATCCATTCTTTAACCATAGAAATCATTTTGAGGCAAATACTCCGTGAGGCAGAGGACAAGCTGGAATTTTTAAAGTTCTTCCTCAACAACAAGCTTCAGATACTAAGTGCAGGCAAATTTAGCAAGGACAGATTTCCACTGGCAAGCATATTGTGTGGAACGAAAACTGGGGGCTGCAGACTCGGGGATTTGCATTCGATTTAGTAGTCAGACACAAAGCTTGTTTGCAATCTATGGACACGTACAATCTTCCTGCCTAAACTTCCTTGACACAACAGGGCAAAATTATACAGGATTCAATTCCGCACCTGTGTCTTGGCTCCTGGTGTCATGGGTGTAGCAAAGTTATTCAAGTCCCAGATATAGATCTCAGATTCATTTGCACCTGAGGCTACAAGGTTTGTCTGTAACAGAGAGAACAAAGACACAGACAATTTCAATAAGAATTAAACATGACCTTGACTGTTCTTATTTTGTCAGTATAAACTATATGCAACCAGTGGAGATCTAACCTGGAAAAGATTGACGTCCAGTGCTCTTACAGGCCCAGTATGCTTGTCCTTCTGAGCAATCACAACTTCACTTTCACCGGTTAATATTTTAGCAGGGTCATACAGAATGATATTTCCATTTTCACCACCAGCAATAAGAACACCTGAAAGACTCTCATCAGATCCTGCTTTGTGAGGACCCCATATCAATTTGTGATACCTGAAAGGTAATGGGAATAAAAAGTTTAGAGAAAACTTTAGAAAAAATGCTTTTGTCGGTCAAATGACACTACAAAGAAGTTCAGTCTTCCCACATCATGATTAGCATGCTTCTGTAGCTGCAATTTATTAGTAAGAGTCCCTCTCCGAATCCTTAATCAAGTACAAGTGACACATTTTCTTTAACCGGAACGAGTAAATTCACTAGGGAGGGAAGTGCACTAGCCTCTCCATAGTCAGTGTTTCCACTAGACAGCTGAGCCCCTCTGTTTCGGAGAGCTTTTCTCTATAGCTGGTGATAGAGGGAAAGGCTATAACCTTCTCCTCTTTGCGTGAATTTCATGCTCAGGTAATGGAAAGAATCACAGAATCACTGATTTGGAAGGCCCATAAGGCCATCGAGTCCAAGCCCCCTGTTCAATGCAGGAATCCAAATCAAAGCAGATCTGGCAGATGGTTGTTCAATTTTCTCTTGAATGCCTCCAGTATTGGACCACTCGCTACCTCCCAAGGCGACTGGTTCCATCGTTGCACTGCTCTAACAGTTAAGAAGTTTTTTTTCTGATATTCAGCCGAAATCTGGCTTCCTGTCGCTTGAGCCCATGATTACGTGTCCCTCATGATGATCGAGAACAGATCCTGCCCCTATTGTGTATGACCACCTTTCAAGTATTCGAAAAGTGCTATCCTATCTCCCCCCACGTCTTATTTTCTCAAGGCTAAAGATGCCCAGTTCTTTCTGTCTTTCCTCATAGGGTCCCATAGGATGAATATAGCTTTGTTTTCTTACCAAACTGGGTGGCCTTACCTATCTTACAGGGGTGTTTTAAAGATAAAACAGTTGAGAATGGCAGAGTTTAAATTCTTAAGGGCCCGGATCCTTTTGAATGCTAGTTGAACAACAAGACCCACTGGCACATAATCACTGGCATGTGATCACGCAAAAAAGGGAGAGAGGGGTCAGCTGGCTAATGCAGAGGGGTGTGCTAACATTTTGTGGAGAGGCCATGATGAGGTTGGTGTAAGGTGTAGACTGGTGTAAGGAAGTCTGGGATGCCTTTATTCCCATGTGGGGAGAACACAGAAGTGGGAGTGCAGAGCTGCAAGTACAGTACCCCCACTAGGATGCTGGTTTCTGTCAATAGGCTTTATAATTTAAAACATGCCAGTTTTCCACAAGATTCCATATGCAATTTGTTAAGATTCTATGATGAAAAGCCCTGATTTGTTGAGGTTAAAAATAATCCAAACCAATGCAACAGTCATAAGCAAGCCAAGTGCTTCCGGCAACAACATAAGCAGTCAACAGAAGCACACCATTTCCTTTTGACATAGTATCTGCTGTAAAAGATTCATGAACTCAATCCAACCTCAGTAGAAAGTTTTCAACTCCTCTGCCACAGTGGTAAGTGCAAAACGCTTGCTTTTATTGACACTGTCAAGGCTGCTCTGTCATGAAAAACTACTAGTATTCGCTTCATGCATGTGCTGCTAATGAAGTCAGTGGGGAGTCCTTCCTGTTAGCAAAATATACAGTCAGGATCATTCTACCTCCAGCCTTAGGAAACTTGGAAGGAATTCAAGATCATTTTTAAAATAAAGAGAGAAAAGGAGAGCATATTTCCAGCCTGGGGAGGGAGAGGCATCCCAAAAACAGGGGCTATTTACAGCCTCTACTCTCCTCCTAAGGCAACAGTGTTGACAGGGAGGAAGAAGCCGGCCAGACATGTACAGGCTAACTCTTTGTGCACGGCAGGAGAGGAAGCTGAACACGTTCCATATGCGTTGTCTCCGATGCATTTTTTGTATCACCTGGCAGGACAAAGTTCCAAATAGAGTAGTCCTAGAATGAGCTGGAATTTTTAGCATGTATACATTACTGAAACAGCGATGTCTATGCTGGCTCGGGCATGTTGTGCGAATGGCTGATAGTCCGAGTCCAAAAGATCTCCTGTATGGAGAATTAGCGCAGGGAAATCGCCCCAGATCACAGCTGCGATACAAGGATATCTGCAAGCAGGATCTGAAGGCCTTAGGAATGGGCCTCAACAAATGGGAAACCTTGACATTTGAACGTTCAGCCTGGAGGCAGGCAGTGCATCAAGGCCTCTCCCAATTTGAAGAGACTCTTGTCCAGCAGGCCGAGGCAAAGAGGCAGTCCCCAAACCAGCAAAATCAGGGAGCTGTGCAGGGGACAGATTGTATTTGTCTTCAGTGTGGAAGGGATTGTCACTCTCGAATTGGCCTTCTCAGCCACACCTGACATGGTCCAAGAGCATGTTACCATAATCTCTCGAGCCTGAAGGATGCCTAATCTAAAATCTGTCCTCCTAAGGCAACAGTGTTGACAGGGAGGAAGAAGCCGGCCAGACATGTACAGGCTAGCCCTGATCAAGCTACTGCAACACCAAACGGCCCAGATCCTGCCACTTTCCCTCTTCATTCTCTGCTTTGGAAAGTAAATACAACGCAGCAGCAACTTTTGGGGCCCTGTTAGTAGTTCTTTCTCTGCCATAGTTTGCACTGGGCAAAGTGTGCTACCTCAGGGAAACAGATGCCAAGATACATGTTTTACCCCCAGATATAGAAACAACAGCATAGGCAGGACAGTGTCCCCGTCTGACATCTCCCCACAAAATAATCAAAATAAACAAGAAAGGACCTCTAGGTCTTGAAGGGTGCATCCCCAAAGATTGGTCACATCTGGCCATCCAGATGTTTTCAGCCACAACTCCCATAATCCTCAGGGCGTTGGGGCTTCTAGGAGTTGAAAACATTCAGAGAGCCGGAGGTTTCCCATCCATCCTATAGGCTTAAAAGGCTATCAATCAAAGCTCAAATTCTCAACATTGTATTGTATTGTTCATTTATCAAACTCATTGTTTTTACAACTGCTCATACCTGTGGGATGAGGAGAAGGTAGCACAGGACTTCATATCAAGGGATGGATCTGTTAGGTCAAGTTCAAATATTTCCAGAGAGGCACTGGTACTGAAGGTGGCATCCAGCTGCTGAGCAGACGTACCTGAGCAGAAATGAGGCATTGCTTACTATGGACATATGGTCCTAAAATAATTCTCCACACTTAATGAGGAAATGAACCTAACCTTAGTGGATCAGGGTCTTGTTAATTTAGCTGCAATTTGCAAACACACTGCAATTTCATGTATTGTGTAAAATCCCAGGATTTTGGCCCTTGTTTTTAAGCTTTCATTTTAACACAAGTAACTTCATCAAACTCTGACTCTTTCTGTTCTTTGTTACTTTACAACACATTTGACCATTCTGTAGAATTTCTTTCACACTTGATGTACCCTGTTTCCCCGAAAATAAGCCCTAACCTGAAAATAAGCCCTAGTATGATTTTTAGGATGCTCATAATATAAGCCCTACCCCCAAAATAAGTCCCAGTTAAGTGAAACCCCACCCTCCACCATTGTGCAGCAATCAGAAGATGATGACATGACTGTATTTAAATAAATGTAGATGGTTGTACATGAAAAACATACAACATCCCCTGAAAAGAGAGGGGGAGAGAGAGAGAGAGACAGACAGACAGACAGACAGACAGATGAACGATCACTCCCAGAATCCCCCAGCCAGCATTGGCCAGGGAGGCTAGAGAAAATCTGGGAGTTGTAGTAAAAATAAAGTTAATTTTCCCAAACTCTGATGCTTCTTAAGAAACAGAAGCTACTGGTCACTATTGAGAACGATCAGCTTATGTGGATGCTGATTGAATTTAATAAAGCAATCCTAACATTCTTATTTAAGACAAGATTGCTGGAAGAAATATCAACAACCTCAGATATGCAGATGATGCCACTCTGATGGCAGAAAGTGATGAACAATTAAAGAACCTCTTAATGATGGTGAAAGAGGAGAGAGCAAAAATGGTCTGAAGCTCAACATGAAAAAAAAAAAAACTAAGATCATGGCCACTGGTCCCATCACCTCCTGGCAAATAGAAGGAGAAGATATGGAGGCAGTGACAGATTTTACTTGATGCTTTTGAATTGTGGTGCTGGAGGAGACTCTTAAGAGTCCCCTGAACAGCAAAGAGAACAAACCTATCCATTTTGAAGGAAATCAACCCTGAGTGCTCACTGAAAGGGCAGGTCTTGAAGCTGAGGCTCCAATACTTTGGCCATCCCATGAGAAGAGAAGACTCCCTGGCATGTTCTGGTTCATTGGGGTCACGAAGAGTCAGATAAGACTTAATGACTAAACAACAACAACTAAATTAAAAACTCAAACAAACCAGACAAATAAGAAAAATATAAGTTTTGGTTTGCTCAGAATTGCTATCAAATTTCAAGGTGATTCTGGAACTGTCTTCAATTATGAACTAAAACTGCAGTCAAAAAATATCTTCACATTCTCATTTTAACATTCACAAAAGTTTCTTTCAAAACTTACCAGTAGCCAAGTAAATGGGATGATGGTGAGATGGACTCCATGCCTGCATGGCAGTACGATCTATCTCTTTTAACTTCATCCTGCTGAGAATATAATAGAAAGCATCACTAAATGAATGGCGCAGACCTAGACAGAAATAAAAAGTTGGCAACTTGATACACTGTAAGGAAAGCAAAATTTAAAATAAAGCTGTGCAAGGAAAACTGCTGTTTACAAGTCTATTTACTGGTATTTAGAAAACTAAGAGTTAATAATTTTGCAAATTGGAAAGTTTGGTCAAATTATGCACCCTTGGACACTGGAAGAGACTGATAGCTTTTCCAGACAATCAGCCCAAGATGCATCCCTTCCAGTTTGCAGTTAGTTGTTTCTCAAACTCATTTTTGTTGTATTATGGTGGGTTATCCTGTTCACGTGCAGAGGTCGGAGCAAGGGAACAATGAGTCCTGGAGGGGGGAGCAGCAGCTGAATGTTTTGCTGAAGTGGGCTTACGGGTTCCAGCTACCCCTTGCTGCAACACCTACTTTTAAAAAAGTTTTATATGCACTTCATTACAACACATCAGGCATTCAAACAGGAGACTAACACTGGAGCTGAAAGTGGTCTCAAGGCAACGGTGATATTTTGATGGTAAAACACAGAGGGCCAAAATGGTACCTTGAACATGACGGTTGCGCCAGGAAAGGAAGAAGATCTAACATGAGATGGATTGATTCGATAAAAAGGAACTAAAAAAAATCAATGATTTTTTTAAAAAAAGAAATCAATTTAAATCACAATTTAAATTTAAAATGATCAATTTTTGATTTAAATTGTGATTTAAACCAATTTATTTTAAATCAAATGCACCCTCAGAATCATGGCATTTAATTTACATGAGCTGAGCAAGGGCTGTTGATTGCTGGGCTTTTTGGATGCAAGGAATTCACAGAGTTGCTCTAAGTCAGACATGGTTTGATGGCACATAGCAACAAAAAGAGGTCCACATTCCTGCACCTTCTGCTAAGCACATCCCAGTTTCTGCCATCTAAGAAGTATGAAGAAAGTGAAAGGAGAAACCACAGATCTGGTAGTAAACTAAATGAAGTATTTTTTTTTTTGACAGAAACTGACTTGTTTCTATTGTGGCTGTGCCCAACAGACTAGAACAAACGTGTCCTAGAATTAGAATAAAATGTTCCTAGACGCTGCAGCAATCCACAAGCAATTAAAGTGCCTTTCACAGAGGTGATACCAAGCACTGGATACCTAATATTGTGGATTGTATGACTTATGAATCTGTCTATCGCAAAATCAGTGGCATTTCAACTCTGCAATGCCTTCTCCCACCCCCACCCCCAAGAAGGGAATAGTAAACCATTTCTAAGTATTCTACCTTTAGAAAGCCCTGAAAAGGGTCACTTCAAGTTGGCACGGGCTTGCTTTTTTAAATGTGCTGTCAAGCCAATGCTGACTTGTATGGACCCTTTTCAGGGCTTTCTAAAGCTAGAATACTCAGAAGTGGTTTACTATTCCCTTCTTCTGGAGAGACACAGAAGGTATTGCATCTGTTTTTATCCCTATGTTCTAATGTTCTTCTATGTTTCATACCTTTATACCTTTAAAGGGAGCAGGGGAAAAATAAGAACTTTAGGCAAAAACAAAAGAAACATATAAAATAAAGACTGTGTGTAAACAACTCATGGGTTTCCAGTTGTGTCAATACGTATTTATTGCTTTAAAAGTCCAAGCTTTCAAAGACCATATCGTTTGCCATCTTCATCAGGGAAAGCAAGATACCAGCTAAAACTCAGCTAACCTTAAATATCTAAAGATATAATCAAAACCTGCTGGGTAAGCAATTTAGACCAAACTCAGGCAAGTTAACATGAAAGAGCCAGTCCTGCACATTGGCCAGTAGGTATTAAGTTTGTGGCCCTTTAAAGACTAACTACTATATTTTAATGTAGGCTTTCGTATTTGCCTGATATGCTAGCAGAGACTAACACAGTCACTTCTTCTAAAACAACAACCAAGAAATGTTTACATCTCTCAGATTCTGCATATGGCATTCCGGCTTGAATCATCCTTCTTTGTTTTCTCTTTTTTCTTGCTTCAATGAAAATCAGAAACTGAAGACACACAAAGCTACATGACTCACTAAAATAACTGACAGGGGAAAAAACATACCAAACATATTTTTGAGGAAAGCAAACAAGAGGCTATGATTTCTATTGAAGCTTACATGTCACAATAACAATAGAATGCCCTCTTCAGAAGTTCTGTATAACTTTATTTTTTTGCCTTTGAAGATTTACATAAAACCAGGAGTTAGGTTTTTAAATAAGTATATGCTGTGCTATTCTTGAAAGCTAAAGAATAAGACATGTAGATGTGTTAAAATCAGGGCAGATAAAAATAAATGGTTTTTAAAAATAAAATTTATTTAAATTGTTAAAACAGTTTTGTTTAAATCATCAAAAATTCAGATTGATTGATTGATTTGCTTTTCAATTTGATTTAAATCAAATCCACTCTGGAAAAGTTCAAGATGGTGCTTCAACATCCAAAATCCAACAGGGGAAACAAAACCAACTTACTGTATTTTTTGCACCATAAGACTCACTTTTTTCCCACAAAACAGGGGGGTGGAAAGTCTGTGCGTCTTATGGAGTGAAGAAAACAGATTACATTTTCCTGTTTTCTTCTCCTAAAAAATCGGTGCGTCTTATGGAAAGGTGCGTCTTATGGAGCGAAAAATACGGTACTTTCAACAATATTCAATACATTTATCCTTTACGGGAAGAGAAAAAACTTCCCATCTTCATGAATGGCAAGGATCTGGATAGTTTCTGGTTCTGATGGCTAGATATAATCTCCAGTTTCAGAAGCAATGTGTCTTTGAATAACAGTAGTGAGGAGCATGCAACTGGCAGGATGCTACTGAATACCTAGCCTGCTTGTAGGCTTTCCAGAAGCCACTGTGGAAATAAGACTACTGGAATTGATAGACCTTAGGTCTCATCCAACAAAGCTCTTTTTAATTCTCATAAACTACAGAACTACCAGCTGGTAAGAACTGACTGTTCTTTCCCCTTCCTTTACATTATTCTACCTCCCCTTCCAAGCCATCACATACAATCCACAACAACAGCTAAAAGAGCCATTGCTGGCTCATATATAATTACAGTAATTGTATTGGTTGTACATATAAATAACTTCCTTGCCAATCTTTTCAGTCTTTCAGGGCCTTCAATCCCATCCCTGATACACAAAATCCATACAGTGGTGCCTTGCTAGACGATGATCATCCGTACCACTGAAATTGCTGTTTAGCGAAATCATTGTCTAGCGAAAAGCATTTCCCCTTTGGAATGCATTGAAACCTGTTTAATGCATTCCAATGGGGAAGAATTGTCGTTGTCTAGCGAAGATCGGCCATAGGAAAGCCGCTTTGCGAACCGCAGATCAGCTGTTTAAATCGCTGTCTTGCAAAGCTTAGGTCCCAAAAACGCCTGTTTTGTGAGCGCAAAGGAAGCTGTCAAAATCATCGTCTAGCAAAAATCGGTTTGCGAAGCAGGGAACGAACATTGTCCAGTGAAATTCCCCCATAGGAACCACTGTTTTGTGAATCGCTATAGCGATCGCAAAAAGTCAATGTCTAGAGAAAAAACTGTCATGCGGGGTAACTGTCTACCGAGGCACCACTTGTATTCACACACAAACATCAACATAAACATGTATACACATATTTCTACCCTCTCATAATTTCCTCCAACCACCCTGCAATTCCAGATCTCCTTCCATATATTACCAGCTTTGTGATTCACTTTTTCTTCCCTCTCTCCAACTTATGTTTTTGAATACATGCATAAATGGCAATTGTGCCTAGCTGCAGCCCATGCTACATTGGCCTGTGACCTAGCTTGGATTTCTGATCCACCAGAAGATCAACTAGCTAAAATACTTCCATTTTTAGATACATACTTAAAAGTGTAAAAGTTTACAAGTATATATTTAGAAACATGAACATCATGGAGGGAACTGGCTACAGTTCCCTTTGGAGCAGTGCGAAATTCCGGTTGTCTCCTGCATTAGAAATGGAAACACTTAGGACTGAAAGCAAACACAGCTTCCTCCACCACAAACACCCAGCTTGAAAGGTAGATTAGGCTAAGAAGGAATGACTGACTGAAGATCATTCACTATGTTTCATAGCTCACTGGAGACTTGAACGTGGATTTTTGCATGTCCTAGCCCAGTATTTTGACTATTACACCATGTTGCCTCTCTGACAGATGTCTAAACACTACCATGATCTTACAGGAAGAGGAATTACAGTACATCACAGGCTCAAAGCAAAGGGAAAGGAGTGTCTTAAATGAACTTGGCTACTGTAAAAAACTCTTTTCTTAGCAAAGACATTGGGGTTTCTTCTAAGAACAGCTTCTACAAGCTGAAATTATTATTGGAAAATTATTCTTAGTGACAAAGGGATAAAGTCTGCAATAACTAATGCAATGAACACACTACTTTCAAGACAACAAATTCTGCAGTTGGAGTGCACGCCATGCAGTCCCTCTGAGAGGGGCACAAGTGTTGATCAAGGATATTGTTAGCTTTACCAAGTGTGTTAGGGCTTGCTCTTATCCCTAAAAGAGTATCATTCAGCATAAGATCATGGAACAGGATAACCTGTAGCACTAAACTTAATTGTCGTTCTTGTATCTCGAGGGGAACCTGTTCTGGTGGTTTTTTTTTTTTAAGGCATTCCTGAAGTTGTACTTATAAGCTGAAGTCAAGTAGATGGATTGGAAAAGACTGAGGCTGAATCCGAACAAGGCGTAAACGATGCCGGAGAAAAACATCTACACCCTGGAAAAGACTAGTTTTCTGTACTTGCATCTGACATAAAGACATTCTCCATGTCAAGAGCAATGCAATATTGAACACCTGAAATTACAGAACTGATGAAGAATGTAGTAAGGTCTGAATCGAACTTCAGTCTGCTTACTCTTATCCACTTTGCTACATTAAGGCGTTCTTCTGTGATAACAGGACTTGACGATGGTATCCCTGACCAAGCTGGAATAACCCTGAAGGCAACTGGAGGTTTCAACTTGTACAAAATCTATTTACACACTTGTTAGCTGTGCAGATACATGCTTGTTATCAACCTGTTTTGTCAGTTCAATCAGGTATCAATGTGCTTCTACATTTTAATGCAATATACATGATGGCTTTTATCTTTAATGCCATTGGCAGAATTGGACCTATACATCTAGAGGATGTCTCTCTGAATGTGAGTCCGTGTGCCAGCTGACAGGAGGTCAGATGGAACAGTTCGCTGTGCTATCCATGTGGTAAGCTGGGACAGCCGGAGACAGTAACAGGGCCTTTTCAGCAGTGGCTCCTAAAATCTTAGAACATCCTGCCAGAGGAGCTTGAAAATCTTCATTTTTACTTCTGTGCAAAGCTATCAAGCTTTTGTTTTCCTGAAAGTATTTCATCTATGAAGGATTTTTAAATATTTGTGCTATACGGTTCCTTGTTTTGAGCTATGATTGCTTCACCTCTTTATCTAAACCAGCACAGTTTGAAGGGATCTTTGAGATCATCTAGTCCAACCTCCTGCCCCAGAGTCTACAATCCAAGATGAGAAAACAGCATTCCTGGCAAAAGCCCGTCTAGCCTCTGCTTAAAAATCTTCAATGAAGGAGAACACGGTACTGGAGAGCCTTTTCCACAGCCAAACATCACTCACTACAGTATTAGGAAACCTCTCTGGTGTTTAATCTGCTTCTCTACAAAGCAGATACTGTTTCCCTGTTTCACCAATTCTATTATTGCCTTCTGGAGCAACAGAGAATACAGTACCATTATTCCATCTTCTGCTTGATACTTCTTATGATATCTGAACAACTGCCCTCCTTTTCTTTAATCTCCTTCTCCAAGTTAAACACAGAATATTCTCTCAACTATTCTTCATAAAGCTAAATTTTCACGCCTTCAAGGGAGACTTGACCTACAGACTTTTTGACTTGAGAACCGCCTTCCAATACGGATTAAGTTCTCAAGTCAAGCCCCCACTGTATTGCCTTCTGGAGCAAAAGAGAATACAGTACCATTATTCCATCTTCTGCTTGATACTTCTTATGATATCTGAACAACTGCCCTCCTTTTCTTTAATCTCCTTCTCCAAGTTAAACACAGAATATTCTCTCAACTATTCTTCATAAAGCTAAATTTTCACGCCCTCACCCCATCCCTGGCCCTCTTCTCTGGACAAGCTCCGCTTTGTCAATGGTCTTCACAGAATAAAGCAGAATGATTACTTCCTATGATCTGACTACTGTGCTATCCTTCGTGTAGCAAAAAACAGTGTTAATTTTTTTAGCAGCCACCTTGCACTAATCTTGTTGGACTTGTGTTTTTTACTTGCTAACAACATGTCATCTTTCGATAAAGTATTGTCTATAAACGTTTAAAATAAGCCAATAAAACAATGTCATATGATAAAAGCACAAATGTATTTTCACTGTCCACGTATAATGCACTGAGTTCTTTTGCCAAACCCGCAAAGAGAAAAAATGTTAGCAAACAGTCAACCTCAAATGTACTTAAATTAACCATTTAACACAGTAGGGGCATTTCTCTCATTTGTCTACCTTCTGACAGAGTTCTTAAAAGTAGCTTGCAAACAGACAGGATCCATCCCACCATTTAACACAGTAGGGGCATTTCTCTCCTTTGTCTATCTTCTGACAGAGTTCTTAAAAGTACGGTAGCTTGCAAACAGACAGGATCCATCCAAAACTTGTGTGCTCTTATATCAAGAAACTTCTTTATGATGATGTCGTAAGCTGTTAAAGTGGTATCCAACTGCTATAGCTGTATAGTGCAAGTACACTCTGTTTATGGGTTAAAGAAGCAAACTAAAATAATAAAAAAACAAGTTTGTGGCATTTTAGAAGCTAGCAGATTTATTTCAGTCTCAACTTTTTTGCACTGCAACTCATGTACATCACTCACTAAAGGAAAGGCAGTAGCAGGAAAGGCAGTAGCTTGTAATCTACAAATGCCCACACATAGAAATAAATCTATTAGTCTTTAAGGTACCATAACACTTTATTTTTGTTTCCTTTTCGTTGCACATGCTGAAACAAGTTAATACGTCTACAGTTTTGAAAATCCTATTTTATGTTACCGGAGCCCAACTCTGCACACCATGTATTCAAGTCAGTTAGCAAAACTTCATCATATTTCTTGAAATAAGAATGCTTAACAGATTATGCAACAGGAATCTAGGTGTTGGCTGCATGTCTATCTCACAAAAAATATATAGAAGCTTATCTGGAATTGTAACATGCCATAAACACATATTCACTTTTTAAAAAAAGAAATTCATCCGCATGCCTGTTTTTCTTTCTACTAGAAGAGAGTGTTTCCGTAATGCAAAACATATTTTAAAAATGCAACAGAGCCCAGAAAATAATATGGTACAAATTTACTACTTTACTAGGGCACTTTCACTACAACCTTGTGTCTCCTGCTATTCCAAGGGCTAACTTAGAAAGCCTGCAATGTTCCATAGGATCCACCCAAGTGGAGAACCTTTGATACTGACACAGCATCAAATAAAGAACCGCCTCTCATTCAAGTGAGATCAGCAGGCAAAAGGACACGTATTCAGCCAGATGCCTGGTTTATTCTTAAAGCACCATATAATAAATTGGGGAAGGAGTGGATTCTTCCTACTAACCATCATAAAAAGTCTTAATGCAAAATGTACATAATGATCCTTGTAACTGAGTAAAAGTGAAAAACCTGTGCTGCATACTGGTTATGCTATGCCAAGTTAAATGAAAACAGTCATCACTGTCCGAGTTGCTGCAGAAACAGAATTCCTGCCAAGTTAAATGAAAACAGTCATCACTGAGTTGCTGCAGAAACAGAATTCGTCTTCACCTATATCTGCATACTCATATGCATGCATGTGTATATACAGGACTATCCCACTTAAACCAGTTTGGTCAAGAACACCTATATCTGCATACTCATATGCATGCACTTAAACCAGTTTGGTCAAGAGTCCAAGCCATAGGATAAGGAAGTACAGTAAGTGTTTCGCACTGGTTGCTGTGGATTTTTCGGGCTATTTGGCTGTGTTCTGGAGGGCAGCTCCATTTCGGGCTATTTGGCTGTGTTCTGGAGGGCAGCTCGACAAACCCACAACAACTATCAGATCCCAGCCACGAAAGCCCTCAAGAACATAACAACCATCAGATCCCAGCCATGAAAGCCCTCAAGAACACATTGTTTTGCACTGAGCTACCTTTTGTGTGCACTCAACAGGCAGAAATTATTCTCAATAACCAATCCTGAGTAAAAAGTTCAGGCTTGCAGGTATTATAAGAAAACATCAATCAATGCCTTGGAGAAATGACAAAGAACTCATAATTACAAAGGATTCTTAATACTGTACAGAGATGGGTGAGATCTATATTTCAAAGGATAGGCTAAAATTATGTAATAATAACAATAACAACTGTGTACTGTCAAGTCAATTCCGAATGATGGTGATCCCCTCCAGGGTTTTCTAGGTATACAATACTCAAAAGAGGTTTACCACTCCCTTCTGGGGAAATACACATATTCTCTATTAAAACACCAGGGACAGAGTTCATGCTTCAGACCGTTTTTCCATGCATGTGTAGGAGTTTAAGTGGGGATCCTAAATTGGAACTAGCAAGCCCGGTAGGGAGAAATCTTTCTCTCTAATTTATGAATGCAAAAGCGGTACAGTATAGTATGATTTTGCCTATATGCTGCATAAACTTTTCTATCATTATAGCCACACTCGACTAACCAAAACCCATATAGTAAGAGGAAATGGAAAGTTTACAAATACTAAACTTGATCGATGCAACCTGTCTGGAAGGCCCCAGGCTTTGCCTTTTTCCAGTTTT